GAGGAGAGGAGAGGAGGGGGATGGGGGAGGTGTGTAGTTGAAGAAGAGGAGGAAGGTTAGAAAGCTGGGGAACTTTTAAAGTTTAGAACGAAGACGCGAATGATGGCGAGCCAGGAGAAAAGAAGAAGGAAATAAGTAGGAAAATAATGAGTCACCTTGGTGGAAGAGGAGGAGAGAGATCGAGGGAAGCTTCCCGCGGGGCAGCACAAGAAGCAAGAAAAAGGACCGGTTTCGGCAGCGGAGGGGCGGGAAAGGTTGGAACGACAACCACGACTCCACGGGTGGAATAGGCGAGGGGATTGTCGATGGAGATCGGATTGGAGCTTGTAGGAATGATGCAGGGATGAATTGGGATGAATTGATCGAGACAGCAACAGACAGAGGAAGCTGATGAAGATGAAAAGTGAAGGGGATGGATGTTGTTGATAACGAAGAGCGGGGAGTTGGAAAGGTGATAAGAAGGGTCTGTCTGCCTGAGGCCTACGGTATCTACAAATACACTCCTGATCATCTACATCCAACAATCATTTGAAAAGACTATCTGCAGTAGTTGCATCCTGATGATGCAGCACTATGGAGTATATACAGAATAAAATCAGTGCTACTCTGATCGACTTCTTGGAAGTCTTGGAATCAGCTCACCGGTACACCGGGCAGCGGGGGATTCCATGGGATATCCTTAGCCATTTTTTTTCTTTTCTTTTTTTCTTCTCTGAATATTGTACAAATCGTTTTACTCTACTGAAAATCACATACTGGACTACCTATCTATCCGACATTCAGCCAGGAGGATTATCCGTTCGACCGGATCATTGGTGGATGAAATAATAGTTAGTTAATTGATTTTGTCGTTGGTTATCTCGACTATCTATCTACTACTTCAGCGAAGCAGAACAGACAGAAGAACTGACCCTCTCTGCAAGATCTTCAAGATGTAGTCTAGATACTCGGGAAATGACATAATAACCTCCAAGCTAATATACACCCACAAGGCTTCATGTCATATTCCATCTAGATATCGACTACCGAGAAAGATTCGGGTTATTCAGGTACCTCGATCCCTACAACCTCGGGTCCTCGGGAGATAATCAATCAATCCATCTGAATTGTGAGGAAATACTCTCCTATTAGCATTATTCTAGGATAGTTAGTCGTTCCTATCTTGGTATGGAGATCTCATATTACCTGAATGAGCCTATCCACAATCCCATTTGGAACAGTTAGTCCGTCAGGCTACTCCGTAGTCTCCGTATGCCGCTGAGAATCTCCGTAGGTAAACGGCGATAGGCGCGCTCTCACAGTCCAATCTGCCAAGTCTGGGCCTGATCGACAGCATTGCCGGAGAACAAACTCCGTGAAATCACGTCAGGTCCTTCTAGTGTGTCTCCTGAATGATTCTGGTTAGATAGACCGAGGTCATCGCAGCCACAAGAAATCCAAATTGCCAGCATCTGACTGGTTCTTCTTGTCTCGGACTGGAATGCCCCGACCGATCAACGGACCAGAGTAAGAGTTATCCAATTCCATCAGCAGTCCCAAACTGGTACAGGCACGATCTCACAAATCAGAAATTTACCGGCCCAAACTCTGACCTTGGCAGAAAATCTCTTTTGGCAATGGTCATACCGACAAGACGGGACAAGACTGGATCGCTCCGTGAGGTCTTGGGAGACAAATACAAAATTACCACTTTCGTCCACCGTGGAAAGGTCATCTGACCTCTACACATCCCTTTCGGGACACATAGTATCTACAGTAGACAGTAGTAGTAGACAGTAGACATAAGCTAAGGTAACTATGGACTATGGACAGCTTGGCTCCATGATCATCGCAATGTATGATTCTCAATCTGTGGAATTCCCAGAGTTGCCAGTAGGGGTGTTCTGGCCACTTTTTCACTGCATTGTAAGACTGGATGAAAGTAGTATAGCCTCCCTACTAAGGCGGCCCCTAGTAATCAAAAAGTATCCATTTTTGAAAAACAATTTCAGCTTATCTAAGGAGACAATAAAATCAGTCAGCTGATTAGAGCCGCGATACTATCTTGATGCTGGTTATGGCATCATGATCCCTCCCACTAGAGCTGCTGTAGCTGTTAGAGCTGGCTATATAGGCTTAATAATAGTAGTAAATTAATTTAGGGAGAAGAGCATAGTAACTAAGGCATTAGAAATTACTAATTTAGCTCTATTTTGATGGGATACTAATGGGATACTGATGTTGTAGGTAAGTGTCTTCCTCATTATATATTTTTCTATGGTTGAACTGACGTTGGCTTTCCTGTTGGCTTTCCCTTACTAGATCTGCTACGCTAAACCTAGAATAGATGAATTACAGAGACTAATGTCTTCAAGTTAACTGCACGAACTTGTGCAGTTGAATTGAATTTTCAAGCTCTGTAATTCGGGGATACTCCCAGATTAGGCCTTAGCGGCTTGGCCTACCATGACACTATACCTAAAATGCTAAATTGCAATGCAATGAAGAGTGGCCAGAACACCCCTAGTAGTACTAGTTAATCGGCAAGGATATACCCTTGCATTCGTGTCCTATACAGAGTACTCCGTACTATGCCCAGCTTCTCAAATTCCATATCGGGTAATTCGATCTTACTGCGGTCAGCAATGCAGAATTCACTACTCCGTGCAGATGGTTCGTACTCCGTACTCTACCAGACTCCTGCTTCAATCCGGCACCGAAATGCAGCGATGAGCTTGTCCCTTCCTCTGTCACCCTGGTCACTACATCTGCGAGATAACAACTCTTTCAGTCCGACAATCGGATAGTATTATTGTTACTTCAAGCACCATCAGTACGGAGTATCACAGTCAATCATCCCCTCGCATCGCTATCAGGACTGCATCTCCACAATTTCGATCCTGTCTGTCCTTCTTGATGTTGGCCTCATCGGCCTCTCCACGAAATCGCCATCCCCACGGGAAAAGTTCACTGCCCCGAATCGTCCGGGCTAATCTATTTCCCTGCAGCTACGATCCTCCGGTTCCTGCATTCTTTGATGCTCCCTTCTAACCGATCCAGAGCTCCATTATTCATTGTCAGAAACAGCTGATAGAATGTAGAATGGCTCCTGCAGTCAATGGACCGGCAGCCACACTTCGCGTTCGGAGTCCGAGGCCGAAATCAACATTACATGGGCGAAATATTGTTCACGCCGTAAGATACTAAATTTATTCACCCGGCAAAGAAAAAAAGATACAAATGTTCAAAGCCTATCAAATACATTGGTACGAAGGAATCAGAAAATAAAAAAAGAAATGCAATGCCATCAGGAATAATGAGTAGAAATCACATCGCGGACGAGATTACCAGCCATGTGTATCACTAGCACACCACCTGGTATTCTCCGTGCATGTCATGTCCTTGCCCTTCTTTTTAGCTGACTCCCTTCCTCAATCGCTTCGGCATCAGCGGAGATCATATTTATTAAACATACATTAATGGACAAACGTCATCTAGAACGGACGGAAGCCAGTGGCTTGGGGCGTGATGCCATTCGCCTGTCCGTACACCATCGGCGCAGGTGCAGGCGTCGCCGGTCCTTGCGTCAGCATGAGCCGTGAGCCGCCCAGGATTGGTGTGTTGTCTTCCTCCTTCTTATGCGACACTTCCCGCGCCTTGCGTTCTTCATTGTCCTTCTTAAGCATCTCAATCGTACGTGTTTGCTCGCAGAGGAAGTTGATCATGAAGGGCATGGTGAAATCATGAAGACCATGGCGCCACGACATCTCCAGGATGACATCGGGGCGGATGAGATCGTAGCAGGCGTACAGCATGCCCACGTAGCACTCTCGGCTGCCGATGTCGACAAACTAGACACAGTCAGCGAATTGTTTCAATGAGAAAAGAGATTGATGAGGGATAAACTTACGTAGCGAAGAAGCTCCTCAACCACGTCCGACTTGCCAGAAATCGCCGCGGTCTCAATGGCATCCTTGTATAGCTTGTCCTGCTTGGAAAGTGCAATCGACTTCTCCCAGCGCTTGTTGTTACGGTAGATGTTCGCCGCAATCTGCCGGAAGAAGATGAGGTCATGCTTCTCGAGACGCTGGGCCAGCTGCACCGCATCAAAGTTGTCATAGTTGTCTACCGAGTCGCGCAGAGTCTTGTAATCCTCCTCCTCAATCAAGAGGTCGTTGATGGCATCATTGACGGCCCTCTTGTTCTGAGTCTGGACGTTCAACAGGAATGGCTTGATTAGAGGGATGTTGTCCGAGCTCTGGAAAATGCGTACAACACGGTTCACGTCGATGCGAGGGGTCAGGACCTGGAGTAGATCTGTAAGGAGCAAAGGCTGCTCCTGCAGGTAGAAGTTCAGAGCACGATAATAGATTTCCAGATTGGCAACCTTAACAATGATATCCTTGAATGAATGGTGTTCCCAGGCATCCGCGGCACGCTCCATCATCGCCAGAGCGGCGTTGTCCCACTCGTCGTAGTGACAATACAAGAATACTAGCTCTGGCCAGAGATTCGCTTCCTCACAGGCGCGGATCATCTTGGGGATGTTGATGCGGGACCAGAAGAGCTTGAGGTGCTCCATGACCCGGTCAGGGTGATACTTGGACAGAGCAATGCCAAGCTCGGTGAACATGCCCATGTGGGCCCTCTCCAGACCCAGACCGGCTTCGAGCACACTGATCAACTCGTCGAAGTAGCCATTGCGCTCGTATTGGCGCACAAGGTCCTGCAGCTCCTCGGCATGAACAATCAGGTTGAGACCGCAAATCTGGGCGAGACGGAACTCCTTCTTGTCAACACAGGCCTGGTGGACTTCCTTCCAAACCTTGACGCTGTTGGCCTTGCGTGCACACTCGACTGCAGCCTGGTAATCTTCCAAGTGCACCAGGGTGGTAGCCAGCTTGGCCCAGTTGGAGATGCTCGTGTAGAAGATCTTGGCTGCCTGGTGGTAGCCTTCGGCATAGGCCTTGTCACCGGACGTTTCGATATCGGCCACGTTGGTGGTACGAAGGAAGTCCTCGAGCTCCGGTAGCTGGTCAAGACGGGCATAGCAGAAAGCAAGGGCGGTGTCAATGGCTGGCTCCCGCAATGTCTTACGAGCCATCTTGAGATATTTGACAAGGTCCTCGTCTTTGCCGGCATGAGTGGCAGTCTCAATGACCTCCTGGTAATTCGAGGGATCATTGGCACGGATGTAAGATTCGATCGAGTCAGACACACGAAGACCGTCAAGCTGGGCCTTTGCAACCTTGCTCCACACATCCGGCAACTCAACGCGCTCGGCAAACTCTTGAGCACGGTCAATGCTGACAATGTTCTCCACAAGAACATTGACGGCAGCAATGTAGTTGTTGACCTTCTTATAGATCTCGAACGCTTCCTCGTACAGCCCGACGGAGATACACATCTCAGCGATCTCGTCAGCGCTGAACTCAGAGAGCTGATGAATGTAATCCATCAGACGTCCCTTGTCAGCCTTAGCTGCCGTCAGCATCAGAAGGTTCTGCAAGCTACCATTGTCGCTGAAGGGCGAGGGCTCGAGGATGATCTTCTCCAGGAGCTCGATAAGCTCGCCAGGAAGGTCGGCCTCAAGGAACGCCTTGACGGCAACGGAAACCTTGTCGGGCTCAGTCGATTCAGGAACTGCCGTTGCGATGACCTGGTCGACAAGAGAACGGCGGTGCATGTTATTCTCGCTCAGGACGAACGACCAAATCTCGGGATCAGCACGCTCAACAAGGTAACGAGCTTGGGCCCGGTACATGGCGTTCTCATTGGTGATGTTGATGAGTTCTAGGTCATTCTGTCCCTTCCTGTAGGCAATGTAGGCCAGGTTCGGATCACGCTTCTCGCAGTATTTACCGACGGTCAATGTGTCATACAGGTCGTTCTCCTTGAGGAACTTCTCGGGGTTATTGTTGCTGTCGATGTAAATCTTGGCAAGAGCATTGTAAACGGCCTGTTGCTGATTGCCAGTCGCCAGAGTGGCTTCAAGGAAGGGCAAGAGCAGCTTCAACCTATTTCGAGTCTCAACCTCAGAGACGAGCTCGTCAATGGGGACGACAGAGGGCTCGACGGTAGACAGAAGGTTCTTGATAATAGCTTCATCACAGTCAACATCCAACAAGCCTCCAACGACGGCTGGAGTACGAGAAGGGTTGACACGCTGCACATAGACCTCGATGGATTTGTATTGCTGGTTCTGGTATAGGTAGAGAACCAAATCGTGGATGAAGTTGAAACGGTCGCAGACGATGATGAGAGGAAGCTGCTCGGTCAACTTGGCTTCTTTCAGGAAATTCTTGACCTTCTCTGGGTTGTAATAGTTGCTCTCGCGACAGATGCGCTCGACCTCGGTAAGCTGGCCCATGGCCGTAGCAGCCTCGATGTACTTGAAATGAACCTCGGGGTCCTCACTAAGGTTGACGATGCTTCCGAGATAGTAGTAGAGACCCTCAGCGGTGCGGTACTTCTCGAAAAGGCTGATGAGTTGACCAGGCCCGAGGAGATCCGAGAACTTGGTCGCAAGTTGAACAACAGCCTGCAAGTTCTGGCGAATGTTCACTTCCAACATGGTGTCCATGCAGTCAAGAGTCTGCTCCACGGAAAGGCGGCCAAAGTAGTTCATGAGCCATTCAGGGTTCAACTTGTCGGTACGAACAATGTTGCGCTTAATTACCGCAGGGTCATCGGTGTTTTCCAAAGCACGCTGAATGAGGCCGGCATTCTCGCAGAGCTGGGAGATTCTGGGACGATCATAGTGGGTGAAGATCTCGTTACCAAGGATAGCATCTGCAACCTGGGGAGCGTTGACCAGGTTCATCTCAAGCAACCGTGTCTGCAGGTGGCCATGCTCCGGCTTGTTGTCCTTGAGGGCATCGAGCAAAAACGACGTTGCCTGCTGAATCATGTTCTGCGACAGGAACACGTCCACAACGCGGTCGAGGTCAATGAGTGCGCCGCTTTCCTCGTTGGCGAGCTGGGCCGCGAATTCGGCACCCTTCTCGGGATTTACACGGACAATGTGCTGCAGAAGTTGAGTGTAATCGGGCTGGTATCCAACTTGCTTCGAATAGGTGAGGATCTTGTCAAATTGACCAGTCTCGGCAAACCCGGCAATGACCTTGTGAGGTACATTGGCTTGCAGATAGATGGACAAAGCCATGTTCATGTCGTATGGTCGCACGATGTCTCCAAGTTCCTCGGAAGCTTCCAGCTTATTCTCATGCATCCATTTCTCCAGCAAGTGCTTCCTGTTCTGTTGCAGGACAGGGCGGACAAGCTCAACACTCTCATACTTGTTCAGGGATCCCTTGTCCAAAAGCATACCGAAGTACTGTAGGATTACAGACATCTGCTGGCCAGTTTGAGGCGCGTTCTTGAAACGGTTGATGGTCTCTGGTGTCCGGAGGAAGCCTCGGGGAGAGTTGGCAGCGATCTTGGCAGCTTCGGAGTAATTGCCTTGCGCCAGCAGGTTGTCGAACTGCTGCTGGTAGAGGTGATCCGCTCCAGGAAGGCCAGCCTTGGAGGCGAGCTTCACCGCAAGTCCAGACATGGCAGGATTCTCCATCAGGTACTGGATAATAGTTCCCTCGTCAACGCTGACCGACAGGACTTGACCCTTACGGTTGACACCAACCAGGCCGGCACATTCTGAGTCGGGGGCTGTAGTGAAAATTGTTTCGCTAGAGATACGATTCATGAAGATGCAGGTTCCGGTTTCGAGGTCGTAAAGATGAATGAAACCATACTTCGTAACGAGGTAAACGATGTCGTACTTTCTGGACACCTGCATAGCGACCGGGAAATCATTGACTGCTTCTTGCGGGAAGTACACTTCCACAGCCTTCTTCTGGAAGCGCGGGTTCGGCTCCTGGTGGTCGATCTCGGCGATCTGCAGTTTCGCGCCGGTCTGAGTACGAACAGCGAAGGTGAACAGCTTGTGCTCCAAAGGAGAGCCTTCGACTCTGATTGAAGCGAAAGCTGCCGCGTGTCCTTCAATAAATTGCGAAATTCCACGATCTTTGGAATACAGTTGCATTGAACCCACAACACGTCCCTGCTGTTGGCTGATACCGACCACGACCATCCACTTCTCGTCGTCGTTGACACGGTAGTTGATAATTTGGCAGCCCTGGCAGCAGTGATTGTCAGTTACCACGAGTCGAGCAATGTGTTGGTCTTTTTGATTTCCGTCACACTTACACTCAAGTTTGGAAGTCTGTCAAAGATCTTGAGAGGCTGGTTCTGGGTTGGATCAAAGACATCCCAGTGGTAGACTGATGCCTCGGTAACCAAACCTAGACTCTTTTCACTGAACCACTTCCAGTAAACAACGTCTTCATTCATGACAGCAGACTTGAGCTTCTGCTTTGCAGAGAGGTCAAAGATCTGAATTGTTCGACCCTGAGCTCTGAGGGCGATGATGTTCTTGGTCCAGTGCATAATGGCACTGTCCGCATTGATCGGCCGCTTGATGACTTCATTGTTGTTCTTGAGGTTGACGATAATGACTTGAGGCTTGTCATCTTCATTGAGTTTTTGCCTCGCGCAAACGAAATGATCCGATTCTAAAGTCTATCGAGCAATGACACTACGGTTAGCAAGCTTCGGTCAGATCCCTGTTTTAGGAGCTGCGCCTCTATGCTGTACTTACACATGAGTTGAAGCCAATCGATTGTGGCTAGAAGGAACAAAATGTAAGCAGATATTCACGACAGTTAGATATAAAGGAGAGGCGCGTCCGGCATGCCGGCATGCGACACCCTGGTTTGGCAGTAGATGGCATCAGGCAGTATCGGATGGCAGGACATACAGCAATTTCGGCATTTGTCAGCTATAGTAGAAGAACCAGATATTAGCACTCTCTGGCGACGAGCGGAATGAGATCAACACATGAGGGAGGGGAAATACATTGATAAGCTCCGTGAACTTGATGGGAAGAGGAGCCATATTTACCAAGGCCGCAAGACGACCTTACCCGCCCAACGAAACGCCGCTCAAAAGAAATCAACTAAGCTTGAAGTGAAAAGGTGAAGGGAATAACGGAAAATTGAAGCTAAAGACAGCGAGAAAGAAGGTAAAAGTGAGGAAATAGAGGAAGGTAGATGAGTAGGGAGAGGGATATGTAGGTGGATTAGCAACTGGGGGAAGCGGGAAGTGACCTCAGGAGGCCGACGCTGTTGTCGTTGCTGAGGTGTCGCTTATAGGGACGTCACGTGCAAAGGGGCAAGCAACGGTGCCTGAGAACGCCTGCGGTCAGCGTTTGTTTAAGGACAATGAGAATGAAGATGAGGCGAATGAGAGAAGTGAATGAAATGAATTAGATTGAATGAAATGGCCAACCTCCTGGGATATTAGGGACTGGTTAAAGTATTCAATTGGGAGTTTGTGTTTGCTTTTTCTATTTTTATGGTCTTGGTCGAGCTCCCATAGGTGATAGTGAGGCTCACAGGCACGTGGATAGCCTGAGGCCCGTTTTTAAGTGACAGGTGCCAGAGTCTCTTTAGCCTAGTGTTTGGTATACTTCAGTTTTGATTCACTACCGCCTGCAAAGTAGACGGTATCTGAGCTGAGCTGAATCAAAGATGGTCATTGAAAAAGCACTTCACTACAGGAGGCTCAGGTGAGACAAACTAATCAAGACCCCATCTCAATTTGAGATGGACTCCTGGAATGCAAGACTATAAAGATTGATCGACTCTTTTTTACAGATGGGAATGCGCATTCGCGTCATGCAGTCACACTCTTGGTTTCATTCAGAACTTATGGGGTCTCGAGACATATGCTGCCATCCCATGAATCCTCATTACCGCTCGCGTATGGCACATAGCACGCCCATACCCGAGTCTACCTAGAATGCCTCAGTGGCAAACTCGTTCATGTCAAACATGTCCAGGTAATCTGGCTCGGGAGATGAAAGACACTCTGTCGCTTTCTCTTATCCGGCTGCTCAATCCAGACTCAATACTTCTCGTTTTGTGGGGCTGTGTACTCATTAGCTACCATTCCTGCAATAGTCATGAGATTCGACCAACCTTGGGCTTACGAACATGTTGACATGCCTATCAGTTCCGCTGCGATGGGTGCAGCGTCAGCATCGGGGCGCAGTCCTCTGCATGTCATAAAACGAACCTATATGTCCAGACGTGGCCACTGCTTCCTGTCCTTCCTCCTAATGCTTCGTGAAGTTGATCTGCGGCTGTTATAGGAGTCGCTCCTGGTACAGGCGGGTTCGTAACCGGAAGTTTTGCCAGCCTGAGCTTCCACATCTCTTGGTGGTGGGGAGGTTGCTTGGCTCCTCCTTAAGGCCGAGACTGCAAACAACTCGGTCAGCACAACCCATGTATGGAGGGCAAAGCCGCAACGAAGCACAGGTATGTGGTCACGGCACCCATTTCCCTGGTCCCTTGAGCCTCGGTCGATCCATCTTCTACAATCCAGAAGCATATGCGTCCTCCCGGGCATGCCCTAGATGCAACCAATGTTATACCTGATATCAAGTCAAGCAAGACGAAGGTCGTGGTGACCATAATCATCTATGGCCACGGGAACGTTGACCAGTTATCTCCACCAGTGTTGATCTATCATTTGTGGCCTCTCTTCCCTTCTATTCATTCGATATTTTAAACACTACACTTCCTGGTCTGCGAGGTCGAAATATGGTTTGCGACACTCAGTAGCATCTGGGTCAACTTCACGATGTCAGAATATAGATGCAACTTCGGAACTATGGGAATAGACGACCACTGTTGTCAGGGTCGAAATCAACGAATACAGTGACGTCTGCGCTACTTGTGGGCCAATCCGGAGCGAGCAGCTCAACACCACAAGCTGACGGCCATTGTTAACAATATACGATATACACCTGACGCAGGCATACGGCCCATCGAGACATCACATACCAGGGAACGAGTAGTACTACCTCTGATAAATATATACGAGAGAGCAGTATTCGCTACCTAGCAGACCTCGATGTATGGTCTTACCCCTGGGTCGGATTTCCGTGGTTCCAGGGGCAGAGTTGTGGTTTCTAGGGATAAACCAGGGGCGTGTGCCAGGCCCAGAGGAGATTATGTTTTATCTGTCGATCCGAGTATAACAGCCTTGAGGGCCACCCTACCTTTCGCATCTACGAGCCTCATTGCTTGTGTCACTTCTGACAGGCAGTAGCGGGCCACTGTGCAGGACATGTGTGGCTGTACTTGTCGATGCTGCAGGCGGGCTGTCCAAGCTTCTTACATGCATTTGTACCTGCACCCGTCGTCATTCTCCTAACCTGTGGGATGTTGCGATACTTAGACCTCAGCAAACTATGTATTTCCGCCTTGCAGTTGGATGTTGAGCATAGATAGAATGGAGGGAGATAATGTGAATCCATCGTCCTGGATGCCAGTCAATTGGCGACAAATGAATTTGGGGTTGGGGGGGGAAGGGAAAAAGGAAAAAGAAAACAAGATTTACAAAAAATGCTCACAAGCGGATTTGAACCGCTGACCTCATGATTACTAGTCATGCGCTCTACCAACTGAGCTATGCGAGCTCTTGATATTAAGCCACCTTTAACTTTGTCTCATATACAATTGTCACATTAAAGTGTGCCCTCGCTGTCTCTTCGTCGTGATGTCATCAATAATCTTGAGTCTTCTCCATCACTCTTATCCCGTACCCTACCGTACCTTCTGGGTCAACTTGGGATGGTTAGATTTAGCTTTTCAACTCAGTAGATGCTCTCTCTCGGTGGGAGCCAAGTCCATCCTAGCATCTGTTCCTTGGTTCTTTCGAGTGGTTCTCGGTTCTGGGACGGTGGTACCCATGGCCAGGGCCGATCCCAAGTATATTTCCGCGCAGGCCTGACGCATAGAGACCAACACCGCCAACGATGCACCCAAATAGCAGCAGTCTACGTGCTCAACCAGCTAAATTGTATACTCACACCGTCGGAATTTCGATAGGCAGCAGGAGCTATGTGCACACGTTTTGAATCGCCTCAACAGTCATTCGACCCGCGACCTTCAATCGAATCCCTTCAATAAATCCACCACGACCAGATACCCGCGAACGTACCTCTCACAAAACACTGTAAACTATCCCGGAAACCTCAAGGACCTAGGTCGGTCACAGCATGAAGCTCCGAGATCCAGCGACGCGCATCGACCGTACTCTACCAATCGCCATAGCAGAGACCTTGCTCGCAACGTCCTGTAGATACCAAGTACTCTGACCAAGGCACTAAGGTATGACACACTGCAGATCATGCATCCAGCCGAGCGACAACCTTACTCCAATTGACGTGTCACATCTTTCAGCATGGTATTCAAGCGCTAATTGCATCCCTCATTTGGTAGAGCGCGCGACTCTAATCACGAGGTCTCTGGTTCAGATCCGCGTGTGTGCATTTTTTAGCTGATTTCTTATTTTCAACCCCTGATGCAGACAGTGTGTCTACTGTTAGTGTATTACACAGCTACAGCATCCCACAGAGAGCATAAACATAAATGAAGTGGTACTGAGTTGAATCTATACAAGGTTCTGTTCGTTAAGGGCGCTATTCACAACGCCAACACATCCCATAATCACATCAAAGACATCAAGCACTTTTGGACATGACTCCCTTAGAGGGCCATTGATGTTCATACTTATAAGGTCATCACAAGACTACACAAGCATCACTGCGGTATCATCGCCCACTGAACAATCGTAAACTCTGCACACTTAGTGGTGGAACAGACGAGTGCCCTGTTCGACGAAGATGATACCAAGCTTCTCGGCCGTCTCGAAGACAGGGCCATCGTTCTGGCTACCGCTGGGGGCAGCGATGTACTTGGCACCCGAACGGGCAGCACGGAACACGTTGTCGATGAAGGGGAACTGTTTGACTCTCATCAGCACAAGCTATACAACATACAATAGAGTGGCCAAGAACTTACGAAAGCGTCGGACGAGACGGCAACCTCTCCCATCTTCGACAACCAGCTGTCACGCTCCTCCTGGGTGAAAGGAGCAGGGACCTCCTCGAAGACACGCTCATACTCGGCCTTCTCGATATCGTTGCGGGGGGTCTGTCCGGAGCAGAGAAGATCGATGGCGTTGCTCTTGTCAGCACGCTTGGTGCCGGCCTTCCACTTGATGTTCAGCACACGCTCGTGGAAGCGCATCCACCAGTTGTCGGCCTTGTCACCGGCCAGACGAGTGCAGTGGATACGGCTCTGCTGACCAGCGCCCAGACCGATGACCTGGCCGTTCAGGGCGTAGCAGACCGAGTTAGACTGAGTGTACTTCAGAGCGATGGTGGCCACAGTGAGATCCCGCAGAGCAGAGTCGGGAAGGGTCTTCAAGTCCTTAGGAGTGATGATGGTGTTGAACGTCTTTTGGGGCGAGATGACGACATCGTTGCGGTGTTGGCTGAGCTGAACACCGTACAGAGTGCGAGTCTCCTCGGAAGCGGGGCCGTAGTTCTCGTCCATCTGCAGGACAAGGTACTTGCCACCCTTCTTCTTGGAGAGGATCTCTAGCGCCTCAGGGGTGTAGCCAGCAGCGATAACGCCGTCCGAGACCTCGCGGGAGATGATCTTGGCAGTGGGGACATCGCAGACGTCGCTGAGAGCAAGTAGATCTCCGAAACTGGACATGCGGTCCGCGCCACGGGCACGAGCATAAGCCTGGGCCAGACCGGAAGTCTCGATACCGGCAATGTCATCGACCATGTAGACCTTGCGCTCCTTCTCGGTCAGGGGGACACCGACGGCCGCACCGGCAGGAGAGACGTGCTTGAAGCTGGCCGCAGCGGGGTAGCCGAGAGCATGCTTGAGCTCCTTGACCAAAGCCCAGGCGTTGAGGGCATCGAGCAGGTTGATGTAGCCCGGGGATCCGTTAAGAGCCTTGAAGGGCAGCTTGCCATGGAGCATGTAAGCAGAGGCAGGCTTCTGGTGAGGGTTGGCACCGTAGCGCAGAGAGATGTACTGCTCGCCGTTACCAGCATACTGCTTGCGGAAGAACCCCGAGATGGCAGTGTCGTAGTCCGCAGTGTGCTCAAAGGCCTTGAGGGCGTACAGCTTCCGGCTGTCCTCGGAGATCTCTCCAGCCTCCAGCTCCTTCAGGAACTCGGGGTAGTCCTGAGGGTCAGAGAGGATGGTGACACGAGCGTGGTTCTTGGCAGCAGCGCGCAGAAGGGTTACACCGCCGATATCAATCTCCTCAACGGCCTCGGCGATGGTGACGTTGACTTTGTTGACAGTCTCCTTGAAAGGGTAGAGGTTGCAGACGACGAAGTCGACCTTGGAAATCTTCTGGTCGGCCAGATCCTTCTCGTCGGACTCAATGTCACGAGCAAGGATACCACCGTGGACAGCGGGGTGAAGGGTCTTGACACGGCCACCGAGCATCTCAGGAGCGTGAGTAATAGCCGAGACATCCCTAACCATTGAAACACCATGTCAATGACCATCACTCTGCCTAAATGGGAGGAGCTGATAACTCACTCGACCGGGAACCCAGCTTCACGAATCAATCTGGCGGTACCACCAGACGCGAGCAGACGGACATTGTGCTTGACCAGACCCTTGGCCAGGTCCAGAAGGCCAGTCTTGTCGTAGACGGAGAGGATAGCTGTTTTTACAAAAGAAGCGTGCAAGCTTGAGTCAGCCCAATGCTCGTTCAATTCCATGCGAGTAACAAAAACTCGGATAGTGGGGAAGCATCCGGCCAGTCTACTACTTGGCGAGCAACAGACCCCAGCTCCGATTGAGGGGAAGAAAAGGTTGTGAAGATGTCAAGTATGGACATACCTGACTTTTGTTGAGACATTGTGAGACACTGACTGTGATGGACACTGGGACACGACAAAGTCAGAATCGAGCCCCGACAGAAATTGAGGGGGGTGTTAGAGTATGGAAAAAAGTTCAGATGACAATCATGACCAGAAGGGAAGCCCCGCCTGGGAGTCAACTGAATTGGACTGTGTGGACGATAAGTCTATTATTGAGGACTCTGAGATCTTACCTGAGGATATGACAGTCTGAATAGAATGAGGAGAAGTGTCACGGTCCCTGTCAATCACAGTAACGAGAAGTATCTGCAACAATTAAAGCTTTTCTAGCTCTGCTCATCCCACCGCGGGGTCAATCATGATCCTTCCCTTCCCTTCCCCCTCTGAGAATCATGGCCGCTCTCGGACTGGCTGTATCATTACAGATGATTACCAGAATAACCGTCCCACTTCCCTTCTCCACCTGGTAATTTACAGCCTTAGTGTGTAATGCAATTTCAAAAAAAAGACCCCTGAGCTGTCTTCACATGATTTTCATATATGCTATGCAAAACATGCTTACGTAATTGTGCTCTGCACATCCGCCCAGGTCTCCCAAAATCACATGATACAGCACAGACCACCTGTCCCCAACGCGAACACAAAACTCGCTCTGCTTGAAAACTTCTTTCCCTTTTCTTTTCTTCTTTTTCTCTCTTCATGAACAACGCAAAAAACAACATTCTTTCAAAAGCGTTCCTACGAGGATTATCCTCTTCTACGGAAGAGATAGGCCTATGAAGTACGGAAATCGTCATATAGAATGGAGAGGGATTGTGGGAAACCGCAAAGGGCCGATCTTGGGTGCAGTGTCTGACTTGATCTCGTCTAATGGCGAGTTCGGTGGAAGGGACTGCAATGATTGGCTCTACAGCCTTTGTAGAATCCCTGAGTATGTGTATGGTGTCTTCGTGTGTGGTCGAAGTGGCTGAGGACACGGCAACTTGAGTAGCTGGAGACATCACCATTGACATCGTAAGATCCCACCCAAAGCTTGGGCCTTCAGGCCTAGGGCATGGGATGATCATGATTATTTCCATTATCCTATCATGAAGCTATTCTATGCTAAGAGCCCTATCTATCGATGGTGACCAGTGCCACGAAGCTACCTGGAGCCGATCAACCCAAACCAAGCAACCTAAAAATGAACACAAAACGGGGAAAAAAAATTGAAGGAGGCTATTTGAGCCCGTCTCTGCTTGTACCTCCGATGGCAAGTTGCCGGCCGACGTTGCCAAAGCAGACGCAGGCGCAGAAGAGAACACTTGCGAGCCATATGCGGATGGCAACACCTTCCTGGGTGAGGCCTGTCACCAGTCCATATTCCCCGACTGTGCCGTTCAGCAGAGGAATGGTAGTCGCAGAAGTATCTGTGGGCGTTGGGACCAACTCCGGCTTGAGCCCCAGCACCACACCTGTCCCGGCCAGTCCAACCACGGTCGACAATAGGAAGCCTGCCTTTGTGCGGTCAATGAGGTACCACAGCACAGGATTGACGAGAGCAAGAGTGGCAGATGCCTGAGTCGTTGACTCCCAGGGGAGTTTCCTCTGTGCATCAGAGTTTAGTCAGCGTTACAAGCCCGTAGGTAGATAGATGGAGCGATCGGAAAAACAAAAGAATCGGAATAACTTCCTTACCAGAGCAAACGCAATTCCAACAAAGGCCCCAACGCTCCGAGCCACTGTAACCCAAGCAGGGGTACGATCTTCGCTGGAACGATTGTTCCCATGCCCTTTGACGGTCCGGGAACGATCCGTATCCCACTCCCCAGCAAAGGAATCCAGCCAGGGAAGCACATTTCCCAGAGCCACTCCAGCCAGACCCCACAAACCCAGGTAGTGCCATGAATCATAGTAGCGAATATTCTCCAATTTCACCGGCGTGATCCAGTGATTCTCATGCAAATGGACCGTGATAACTCCGTAGACCACACCGAACCCAAAGAGAAGCGCGCTTCGTAACACCTGAGGCAGAATCACCCCACGGAATAGCCCATGGATGAGGCGCGACCGAGTTCTCTGCACAGGGCCACTCGGCGTCTCAAGAGCTGTTTTAATGTTTGGTGGATTCTCCGAGCTAGGTGTTTGTGCCTCGGTGCCCCAGGGGCTCGACTCATCTCGGGAGCCTTCGAATGCGGTCGGAGAATAAATGCCATAAAGCGTAGACGACGTCAGATTCATGATGGAAGCATTGCGGCTTACGCTGGTCGAACCGGCGTCCTTGGGATTGAGCAGGTCAGGGTTGGCGGGCTCCGCAGGAGTAGGAGCTTCGGACGATTCGTTCGAAGCAGGCGTAAGGTCGAACACTCGCCGCGGACGAGGACGAAGAATGGTGGGTTCATCAGACATGACAGGTGGTCTGCCGAATAAAGATATGGTATGTTTCGCGGTGTGAGAGCCCGACAGAAATAAACACAGTCTGGTAGTTGTGATCTCTCGAATCCAAATATGAGTTCGATATCGACAGGCTAGGTGAAGGTCACGATCGAGAGTCCGCTGGTTTTATATCATCGAAAATAACTCAATGCTGGTTAAATGAATGATCGAATGCCCCCTCTCAGTAAATCGATCTCTGCAGTAAAGGAATAGCCAGCCTGGTGGTGGACACGGGACTGGGTGGAGACACCGTGAGGGAGGAAAAAAGGGAGGAGAAAGAGGTCAAGGACCTGTCAGGTGTGCAGCGACAACACTGGAAGCTGCTCTAGCTGTACAGCTGCAGCAATGACAGCGCAAGTTATCGAATAAGCGAAAGTTCGAAACTATGAGGAGACGAGGGAAGGACGACAGAAGCCGACTCGTTCAAGACCTGGAGTGGAGCACACTTGCAGGTGAAAGTGAGCGGGAAGATTCGCTGTGATCGGCGGATTTCTGGGGACACAGACGTTGGAACGAGGAGGAGTATCGTGCAATTCTGGTTGAAATTCTATAAAAATGCGAGATGGCACGGTTACAAGTGTAACCTGGTATGAGGATAAACACAATGACAGAGATGCGATAGATATCTTATGAGTGTGGATTTTGTTGTGCTGTGAACAGATCCGAGATTTAATTGAGGTTAGACACGAGGAGGCGACGGATGCGTTCACATGTCAATAATCATTGTTGAATCAATACTAGTCTATGTATGGTGACTTCGCAACCATCCAGGGTTCCCCTCCCAACAAGACACACAGACACTACAGTCTCTATGATATTTCAAGTCTGCCACTCCGTATATACTGTAGTAAGTGGAATTGGAGATGATTCATGGGTTGACTCTACAGCTCCATGGCTGCACTGCAGCGCCAGCCATCTCTCCACTTGAGATATGCACCACAGCCCTGTATGGAGTCAAAGATGGACTGACATTCCTTTCGTTGGCCAATAACGAAATTTGATTCGGTTCTACTATGTCTCCGATGTGCTTGGCTGACGAAAAGCTCACTGCGACTTTGAGCTTTCCCGTTTGACTCCGACGCTGGATTTATCGGATTTATCGGTCGCGTGTTGTTCGATGTCTCTTCATCATGAACTTGACATAAAAGGCTGTAGAAGAAAATGTCGCTTAATATGAGCAGAAGTGGGCAGTTCTGGCTAGTCCTGAGTCATTCTGAGTACATGTCTGTTCTGAACACTCATAATCGTAGGTGGCTGCTGTACTCTGCTATGGTGCCAAGATGGACATGGTCACATAAGCAAAGACACATTAAGTATCTTGAAAGGAATAAGGAGGAAGAGAGGAAGTCAAAATAAGAAACAGGGTGCTAGAATATGAAGCATCTAGTGTGACTTGTAGGAGCATTCCGCAAGGAAACCAAATCATGGAAGCGGTGTTTCTACTACTCTTTGCCCTCGTCTAGGACAGCGGTAGTATCACCAGCAACAGAAGAGGTCTCGCTGGCAGCGTATCCATTTCCACCCTCGAAAGTCGAGGAGTTTTCGTCCACGTCGACTCCACCCTCTCCGTCGTCGAGATCCTCCTCATCGTCAACTTCGTCGTCGGAGGATAACGCTTCTACGTCGTCATCCGCATCACCGCCCATGAAACTATCCTCATAACCAGGCTCTGCGGGGCGCGAAGAACGATCGTCGCGATCCGCAGCATCATCCTCATCGCCACTTCCTTCCCCTAGCAGTTCACGATCCAGGTCGTCAAGACCTTCGCCGTCGAGATCGGCATCCTCATCGGCCAGACGGATGGAAGGAGGCAACGGTGAGAGCTCCTGATCTTGCGAAGGAACGTCGAGATCATCCTTGCCTGCCACACCTGAAGAGGCACCTCCAGCAGCGCGGCTAGGGCGACTTCGGCTGCTCTTGGAGCGGGAGGACGAAGCAGTTTGCCCCTTGGAGGCCTCGCCGCCGGCCGCCGCACCACCAGCCTCTGCTTCGGCGAGCTTTCGTCTCGCATTGCGCGCAGCACGGGCTCTGCTACGAGCGGACATCGAGGCTCGCCCACTCAGGTCAAGGGCATCCATGGCATAGCCATTCTGCCTGGCTTTCTGGCGCTCCTCTCTCTCTTTCTTCCGGTCTCTCTTCGGACCATTCGCGTTTTCATAATCCCAGCGGTCAAGCCTTCTGGAGGCCTTACGGATCACAGATAAGAAGTAGCCCGCGGACTCTCCAAAGTCCTCTTCTTCCTCGTGGTGAGGGATCAAGCCACCTTTGCCCCATGAGACCTCCTCGTCCTCAGTGTCGTAACCTTCCGGAAGACCTTGCAATAAGCGACCGTAGCGTGCGAATGGCATTTCACTTTCTCTCTTCGATCGTAAAATCCGGTAAACCTCGGTTCTACGCTTGGCCAGGAGATAATCGATACGCTGGCGCCGATTCTGTTCGACAGCCAACTGGTGCTGGGTAAGTGGTCGAGGGCGGCGAGCTGAGGGAGGCTGACCAATAGTGGATTCGGTCACGAATCTATTCAGAATCGGATGACTTGATCCTGGAGGGGCCGGCGAGGAGGCGTCGGGGGTCTGCTCCATCTTCGTCTTCAAAATCAGTCGCTGCTGACCGACGGAGCGGTTGACAGACGACTCCCGCTTGGGTCGTTTGGACTCAGAACGCGATGATTGAGTAGGCGTCAAATAGCCTTCATCCTGATCCGCTGGACGCTTGGAAGGCGGCCGCATAGAGCTGGTTCCATTATAATCTTCGTCTACTCATAGACAATCCTGGTTAACGTATGACTACACATGGTGGAAAACTGAACCGAACTTACACGAAGGACCTTCTCCCGTGACCACCCTGTCGCTGTATAAGTAGTCAAACGGAGCTACAAAAGCGGTTAGCATAAGACTTTTCGAAGTCACGAAGGGAGATGGTCGGAATTACCCTTTCGGGGACGCTTCGGCGGCCTGGGTAATGGCTCGTCCTCTTCCAGAATGCCTATGACGACGTCAGCCCACGTACGGAAGGCAGAAAATGAGTTGACATCGCATGAACTTACGTTTACGCTCCAAGCGTTTTGTTTCTCCGTATTCGATTTCAGAGGGCGTATCCACGTTTTCCTCGTTTGCCTGCTCTTCCGTGAGGCTCTCGAAGCTGGGCACCTTGATTGGCAGGCCCTCGGTTCCTTCACCATCCTGGCCCGCGCCGAATGGGTTGTTAAGGGCGGCTTCACGCGAGTAATCACTCTCCAGATACCACCACATCAGCCATAAGAAAGCTCTTGCACGGCTCTTACTGCTGAGCGTGGATCTCATGACCAGGTCGAAGAAATCGCGGGGAGGGAAGAAGTGCAACTCCGACACCTTGGGAGCATACTGTGCGAGGACAAAGATGAGGTGCACCGGATTAGTTCGAGGGATGGGATGGCGCTTGATCTTCTCGAGCGTATTCGGCTGGTCGACATCCTCTGACGCACCCTTGAGGATGGATTTGAGACGGGGAGCATCCTGAAGCTGCTTGTATGCGTTGGGGTCCTGGTGCGCCTGCAAAGAAGGAATGGAGTGATAAGTCCGTAGTTGAGCGCGCATTTCTGGGAAAACTAGATTTGTCTCCGAGTCAGTCAAAGATGCAATGGCACAAGTTAAGGGGGGGGTGGAAACCGAGTCCGCGAAGAGGGCCGAGTGAAGAGACGAAGAGAAGGGCAAACCATACAGTTCAAAGTGGTGTTCATCCTCCCAAAGTTAACAAGCAGACAAACCATCGCCATATTGATGGCAGCTTGCTTATCGCTCTGCAGTTTGTCCTTGAGAATCTTGCTCGTCTTACTGCTCCTCGCCATCGCATCGATGTAGATATCCGCGAAATCCAAGTTCTTCTTGCCATCAGACCAGCGAGTGAAGACCGGTGTTTTATCCTCGAAGACAAGTTTGAGAAACTGGTACTGGATGTCCTTGCGCCAGAGCGGCATGCCATCTTCCTTCTTCAGATGCCTGATTTTGTTTCCCGAGTAGACGGAGCCAATAGTGCCATTCGCCTGACGTCTTATGCCGACCGTCGCGCTGACCGTGCTGTGCGCAGGCTGGTCGTCCTGGGGTTCGGACTGCGCAAACGACTCGTCTGCGACGTTGCTTTCGACGTCGGCCATCTTCGAAGGGATCCGTCAATGCAGCAATTTCTCGATGAGGTAGGTTATTGTCAATGGAGAAATTATCGATTGTCGCGAATGCTCGGAAATTGTGGATTGTTGTTTCGTGCCCCAGGTAGGGGGGGCGTCACACGCCGTCAGACTTGGGGACTCGAGGACCGCGAAGCGTGTAACTAACTGGTTAAGGGGAGGAAATGATGCCACAAGTTGAAGAAGAATGAGAGAAACTCCTGAGCGTTGGAGAAGAAAAAATGAAGATGAGGGCTGGATGCAATGATGATAAATATGATCGAAGATGGAGTCTGGAGTTGGATGAAGAGGAAAGAAAGTGGTTCGAGCAAAGGCAAAAGGAGCGTTGTGGGTGTTCTGGTGCCGATATTTCTTTCTGGCTTCCTTCCGGGTTCTTTTGCCTTGCCGGATCTTTGCTATACAGAGGTCATACTACTACTGTTCTTTAATCATCCCGTCTTCCCCTATTATTACCTCACAATGAGATAGATGTATTTGATATGAGCTCTTGAACGCTTTAATTAATGTTATTTAAATTCAATATTAGAATATTCGAATAAAAATTACTCGTTGTCGGATTTCGCCATTCCCCTAGTACCTTATCAATGCGAAGATGCTCAACAAGAGAGAGATGAAGCTCCAGATTATGTAAGGACTGAGAACATGGCCTTCGAGACGTACTCCATATTTATGTCAAGTTTGACCTGCTATTGTTACAGAAACACAACATCTCAAGACAGAAATATGCCATGTCTGTGTAGAGGAAGAGGAGGCTGGGAGTTTCCAGTCAATGCATTGAGGACTAGGAATACCCAAAGAGGTCACAATACCCACATTCCATCCAGGCAGTAAAAGGAACTTGTCACTGCTCATCACCATGAAGTCAGATCGAGAACATTTCCTGAAGGGCGACAGTTACGTGATGGCACAAGAGCTACAATGACATGGAGAAAAATAGAACTTTTTGATTGATAATAAGGTAGCTCTCTTCTCTCGAGACAAAGGGTCTCCGTGAGCTACGCCGTGCCGTTAGAAGGCCTAAAGCCCCAAGCTGCTCCTGACAGTAAACGATGATGCCTCCGAACCAGCATGAACATCAATGCGCCAGAAATCACAGCTATCCCTCCGAGGATCCGAGTAATGAAACAGAAAAAGACTCCCATTCAAATGTCAAGCCTCCACGGACCCCAGTGCAGAGAATATTTTGTGGACACAGCAGCTCAAGTCAACGCCATACACAATGCAAATAATCCCATCTATATCACTCGCATCGAGTAATTTATGCACCGCGGTAAAGAAAAAGGAAAGTACACACAAGGAAAAACAGGCTCGTGGACACGATTGCCACGTGCACTCGCCTCTTCTTTCATGCGGTGTGGATGCGCAGACCCGGAATCTCCGTCCAGAGTCGATGGAAAAAAATGACACATCTCGGAGAAGAAAGCATTGATGTCCACAAAAACAGGAATAACGCATGCACGTACGAGTAAGAACTCAGACGAAAGACACAGAACAGGCCCGCCTTTAGATACCGAAACCGTAGAGATCTATGTTGCAAGACACAGTCGATGCAGCTGCAATAGCACCGAGCATATGAAAACCATAAACAGTACTTTTCTGAAGACGAAAAGCCGGCACTCCCGCTCGGCGTGCATCGTTCAAGCGTACCTCCATATGGACGCTTGAAAAACAGGTAAGGGTATCTGAAAAAGACGGTCGTAACAGGAAAGTCAACGCGATCTATGATAATCATGCAATGCCGATCAAGGCGCTTCTATCCATACCGAGTGTATGGTTCGGAGCAGCGAGACGGAGATATCGGACCGCATCGAACGTCCCATGTCTAAGATGGAAAAGGCGGACGAAAAAAAAGCAATCGCGAAATGCTCAGCAGATAAAAAAAAAACCCACAGACCCAAATCGAGGAAACAAATAACAAATGAGATTGTAAGAGGAAGTCGTGGCAGTCGTGACAAAGCCGGTCCCGATAGTAGGTGGAAAAAGGAAAAAGGACGAAGAAAAGGTACTTCAAGACTCGTTTTCTGATCGTAACCATCAGATGAAAGGCGTAAGAGGAGAAGACGAGCCATTCAGACCCGACGGCCTCGCCAAGGACCACAACCTCCTAGGTAAATTACCACCAGGAAGAGGGTCCAGTGGGGCCAGAGGGGTTTCCGTAGCTGCCGCCGCCATAACCACCGCCGTAGCCACCACCACCACCGTAGGATGGGGCAGCACCGTAGCCGCCAGCGCCGCCGCCATAGCTGCTGCCACTGGGAGCACCATAGCTGCCGCCGAAGGAGGGAGCAGCACCGCCCACGTTACCACCCATACGACGCATATCGCGAGTGGCATTGCCGCCACGACCACGGCCTCCACGGCCTCCGCGTCCACCATATCCGCTGCCTTCGCGAGCAATGCTCTCCAGGAAGGAAGGAACCTCTTGGTGAGCCTCCTTGAGAAGGTCAATCAGCTCACGGACAACACCACGGTTGCCACGGTTGAAGAAAGCAGTGGCGATACCAGTGTTACCCGCACGACCGGTACGACCAATGCGGTGAACGTAGTCATCAATGTCGGTGGGGAGATCGTAGTTGATGACATGGGTGACATTGGGAATATCAAGACCACGAGCAGCAACAGCAGTAGCAACCAGAATAGGGCAACGTCCTGAGCGGAACATCTCCAGAGCACGCTCACGCTCACGCTGGGTGCGATCACCGTGGATGGCAGTTGCAGGGAAGCGCTGGTTCAGCAGGAAGTCCGACAGAGCATCCGCCATACGCTTGGTCTCAACGAAGATGAGAGTGAGACCGCTTGTGCCATGAGTGTGAAGGATATCAAGGAGGACGGAACGCTTGTCGTGGTCCTCGACATACTCAACCTTCTGAGTGATGTTCTCAGAGGTAGAGCCGACACGACCGACAGAGAGGAAAACGTAATCCTTCAGGAAGTCACGGGCAAGCATCTGAATATCGCGAGGGAAAGTGGCCGAGAACATCAGAGTTTGGCGCTCGTTGACATTGGGCATATCTTCACCCTCCACAATACGGCGAATCTGAGGTTCGAAACCCATGTCCAACATACGATCAGCCTCATCGAGAACCAGATACTTGATGTTGACAAGAGAGATGCGGCCACGCTCGATCAGATCAACGAGACGACCAGGGGTAGCGACCAGGAGATCGCAGCCACGCTCGATCTGACGGAGCTGAGAGCCAATATCGGCACCACCGTAAACGACACAGGGGCGAACCCAAGAGCGGTAAGCGAACTTGCGGGCTTCGTCAAAGATCTGAGAAACAAGCTCACGGGTGGGGGCGAGGATCAGGGAAGTAGGGTACGCCTTGCGTTGACGGCCGTAGCCGAACTGACCCGAGGCCTGGGCAGGCACGGCGGAAGGGCCTGTCTGGAAAGCCTGAGAGAGAATGGGGAAGAGAAAACCACCAGTCTTTCCGGAACCAGTCTGAGCGCAGGCCATGAGATCGCGACCGTTCATCACGATGGGAATGGAGTACTTCTGGACGGGAGTAGGGGTTTGGTAGCGAGCGAGCTTGATGTTGGAAATCAGGTGGTCATCCAGCGGAGGGTTCGTGAAGGCATTGACGGGCTCGGGAACATCTTGACCAGATGCTTCGACGGGGATGTCGTCGTAGTTGGCGAAGTTGATACCAGTGCTCTGCTTGGTGGGATCGTTGGGAACACCGAAAAGCTCACGCTCCAGGCGGGCGTTTGCGGGGCCTGGGACGTGCTTGCCGTCGCGCCACTGGCCGTCTCCAGAGCCTCTGGCAGAACCACCTTGAGAGCCGCCGTAGGAGCCTCCGTGTCCTGGGTGTCCGTAAGCATGTGGATCAAAGGGCTGACGTTGACCTTCTGTGGGAGTCCAGCTGTTGTTACCATTGGGGACATTGGGACCACGAGGGCTGAAATCAGAGGCGTTGGCATTCGCCCAGTTGCCACCGCGGGGAGCGTTTCTGCAAGAAGTCATGCCACGGTTAGCCAAAACGAACACAGACGAAGAACTTGACGTGAAGGCTGAAACTTCAGAAGGGATTGCATAATACGTACCTTGGGCCATTCCACGCGCCAGCAGCAGGACCAGGAGGAGGAGGAGCAGCGGCACCGTCGACGTTGGCGCCCGTGGTGCGCTGACGGAGATGGGGAGGGATGTAGGCAGCGCGGCCGTTCGAAGGGTTAGGACCAGCAGGCGCATGCTGAGATTCGTTGAGGGAGAGGTTTCCCATCTTCAAGCTGTCGGCCATGATTGCGGTGATTTTTACGAAACTGTATCAGACAAGATAAATGAGCAATCCGGTTCACCAGTTCAGTGTTTGAAGTCGAAATAATCGAATCTGTTGACTCTGGGGTTGCAGTTGTGAACGTACAATCGACGGTTTGCTTAGTGTTCTTTTAGCTCGAGAACGGACACAGACAATCTATTTCAGAGATTATCTGTTGTAAGGAAGGCTTGAGATTCTTTTCGAAATCAAGAATCTGTACAAGATGAGAGAAGAGAGAAACGTCAAACAAAATCGTGTCTCTCTATGAAGTGGCGATGTAGCAAAGGTCTCAGGCAGAGAAGTAACACAGGTTGGAAACTTAGAAGACCTGAAGGGAGGCAAAAAAAATGAAAACAGTGTTCTCCCAGATCTAACCCTCTATCAAATCTTGCAAAAGAAGAAAAGAAAAAGGGAGGAAGAGAAAGACAGGTAATTATTATGTGGAGAGAGACTTGGGGAGGGGAGAAAGAAAGAGGAAGATGGAAATTGAGATTAAGTAGTAGATGATAGATGGGAGGAGGGGAGAACGATGGAAGAGAGGGCGGAAGGGTTTGTGGGAAGGACGAGAAGATCCAGCGAAATGGAAAACCTGACACCAGGAGGCGAAAAAAAAAAAGAAAAAAAATTCAAAAAACGTAGAGTAAAAGAAAAAGGAGAGGAGAGGGTCTGACTGGATATCCAGATAACCATACAGGCTGGGCCCAGTCTTTTTCTCTCCATTGAATTTTCACCATTTTTGTGTTTTATCACCTTTTTTGTGTTTTAGTGTCCTACAACATCTTACTGAGGTACTACTATTGAATAATAGGTAAAATAGAATCATGATCAATTATTATGAGTATCATGAATGTCTTAGTTTCAGGTATACTACTAGGTTCCTAGGTAGGTTTCTTCACGTGCTTCAATGTCAATCAGGGCGAATTTTGCAATGATTACGGAGTGCATATGTCTTCTCTGGCTCAGGCTCAGACACCTTAAAGCAAGGTAGAACTCCGTAACTTTGTATTTGTGGACCTGCTCAAAAGGCTAAATGAAATCGAATTCACTTACGTCTAAGGTACAGAAGGGATAGGTACTTGGATACTATCAAGTTATCAACATCAACTATATTATCTCAAGCTATTGAATCTTGGGTGCTCAATAGTATCATCCAGGCAACAAAAAGCAATGTTGTTTATTCCTACACTCTTTGTAGTTTCAGAGTCAGCACATTGTTTGACCCACGAGAAGAGAGTCAACTTTGGGGTACAGAGTATCTACGTCTCTGCTAAGACGGGGTTACGCTTGATTTCATCCTCATACTACTACTCAGTACTAATACCAAGAAATAGTAAGGTACCTACTACTGCTTTTCGAGCGTATTAACCCCACAAGTGACATGTTCCAGATTGCCACTCTCTACTACTACTATGATTCTATGCCTGGCTCATCGGATAGACATTTGCCACCGCCTACTGGCGGCGGCATTCCGGACTGTACAATAGTAGGTCAAACGTACCACCACACAGCGCCTATCGAGCTTAAATATCTTGCTTGAAATATGTATTCTGTATATGGGTCTTTATAGACTGCTGAGGTTGAACACCAACACTGTTGACTAGACCTCGTTCTTCTCATCAAACTGCTTTGCCTTCTTCTTGCTGATCTTCACCAAGATCACAACCATAGCGATGAAGATGGAAAGGAATGCAACGTTGCGAAGAGAATAAGGGGACGATTCGGGTAGAGTGGGTACTTCTGACGGTTCTCCATCGTAGAGCTCATCAGCTGGTTCTTGTTCTGAGGGTCATCCAACCATCAGCATATCTGATTGCTTATCAAAGCAGCAAGGACTGACCAGGAACGGGTCTACAGCTCCTCGTGGCTACCTTTGGTGGATTCATCCTCGATCTCTCCACTCTTGACGATCTTGACGGTCTGCGCAGGCTTGTCGCCAGGGCCCTTGGGCACATCCTCGATCTGTTCCACGATTTCGTAGCCCTCAAGGACCTCACCAAAAACAACGTGGCGACCATCCAGCCATCTATCAGAACATGAGATGTCAGTACGCTGTTCGTATAGATCGGCAAGTAAATCACGGAAAGAAAACTTACGGAGTAGCAACGGTGGTAATGAAGAACTGAGAGCCGTTGGTATCCTTGCCAGCGTTTGCCATGCCTGATATAGTTAGAGAACGGCGACATTCAAGTCAATGGCTCAAGGAGTGTCGTACTCAGAAGTCCCTTGCGGGTGTGCCTAAGCTTGAAGTTCTCATCCTTGAATTTCTCGCCGTAGATCGACTTCCCACCAGTACCTACATGTCAAATACTGTCAGCGCATGCGCTGTTGCCAATTGATATGCAGAACTCACCATCGCCGCGGGTGAAGTCACCGCCCTGAATCATGAAGTTCTTGATGACACGGTGGAAGGTAGAGCCCTCATAACCGAAGCCCTTCTCACCGGTAGCGAGAGCGCTGTGTTACATTAAGTATCGGTCGATAAAAAAAATTCAATTGATTGAACAATCGTACCGGAAGTTCTCAGCTGTCTGAACCCAGGCCGTTCCATTAGTGTCCCGTCCAGACCTCAGAAGCAGTGCTGGTGACTAGGGCGATTACCTACCTTAGGGACAGTCTTGCCGTACAATCCAAGCACAATTCTGCCCAAAGGCTTGTCTCCATGCTCAATGTCAAAGAAAACCTATGCAATCAATTGTGAGATGCGTATATCAGTATGCAGGAAACTTGCTAACCTTGCTTGTGATCTTTGGGCCTCGTGGCTCCTTAGTCTCCTCGGCGTGGACCAGAGCGAGTCCAACCGCGAAGACCAGGAAGAAGGACAAAAAGAGGTTTTTGAAGTTCATAGTTGCTCACAGTTGCCGGTACGAGTGGATTTCAGGCTATAACTGTGAGAAAGCTGTGAGATAGATCCAGAGAACTGAAGGAGGACGAGGCCAGCTTGCACTTATCCATAGCGTGCGGAGATGCCAAGACGTTTTCAATAAACAAGCTGCGTATTTTTCAAGATGATTTGCCGTAAGTCTGCTGAAATGTGGACCCAAATATGCGAAATATACAACAAGACCAAGCGTCTAGTACAGGAATGCGTAAGTATCCAATTGATTTGCAAAGTTAACTCGGAGAAATGTTTTTGCAGTCTAATTTCTTCCGCTTCCCGGAGATCAACTGCGATCAATGACAGCAGTCCAGCGCAACTGAGAGAGGAACCGGTACTAGAAGCTGCAGATTCCAGCTAATTAACCAAGATGGTATTGCCCAATTTCTTTTCACAGCAATGATGCATGCTCACCGTAATCTAGGTCTTCATTCTGGGTGTGAATTTCCCCGAGCGGAATCTCGTCAAGGCAAGCGCATCTCTATCCCAAGACTCAGACCCGGCGGCCAAATATCCGTTTGTTCATACAGCCTTAACGTGATCCTGACGGTTAACACAGAAATCAATCGAGACGTTCTTCGGCGTTGGTCCCCTGGCTTCTGCACGCCTCCTTGCCCGCTTCCACATCCACCCTACATGCAAGGTCGGCGAGCTTGCGAACAAGCAGGTTCTGGACCTCACGGCTGCTTTATCCGACATGAAGATTGAGAATGATCTCCGGAGACAGATTCTCGATGATATCAAGCGGTTGAAGGAGTCGGGGTCGTACCGGGGAAGACGCCATGCGCTGGGATTACCGGTTCGGGGACAGAGAACGAGGACACAGGTGGGTTGCCCTTTTACCTTTGGGGTTTAATTACAGACGTTTTTGCATCGTGCTATGGTTTGAAAACAGAGAAGAGTGTATACTGACGAGAACCACAGATTTCGACTGCTGTCAAGCTCAACCGTATGGAAAGAAGATTGTGATTCTGATATGATGGCTGCTATACTTCAAGGCATGGAAATGGCGTTATGCTCGTTTGGCTCTTATGTAGTTTTGAAATTTCTATATCCATGTATCATATTACAGGCAGGAGGACGCGAATCCAAAAGCAGATCAGCTCTTCTCTGATTTCTCTCCGTTATGTGCTCTTTCATCTCTACAGAACAAATCTGATGGTGTCTAAATCAGTCATGACATCCAAAACCATGCTTGTATATTGAAACGAGACAAGACAATAACTCCAACTTTTCGTACTCCACTAAGAAACCAAAAGAATATGTGCGATACATATTATGCCGACAGTACGCCTTCGCCCCGGTTGATCTGAATCCTCTTATCCTCTCCCGCACTGACGATGCCGACTGTCTTGTCCCAGCAAACGCTGAAGACCTTGACACCTTCCCCTCCGACGCGCTTGGTATCAGACTTTCCTTGCTCCTCCAGACTCTTCCGTGTGATAGAGTAGACACTCTCGCCGACGACACCGTCTTTATCAGTCTTCGTGGCACGGATATCCCAGATGCGACATGTGCCGTCGTGGCTTCCGCTGATCAAACCATATGTGCTGTGAGGGTCACGAGCCAGCGAGACGACGGCGTTCGTGTGACCCCGCAGTGTCATGGTGGAGATTGTCGTCGCTGATGTGCGGGGGTCAATGAGGGTAATGTGGCGCGCGGATGTTCCCGCAGCGAGCAGGTTGAGCTCCGGAAGATGCTCAAGGGAAAGAAGCGAGTGAGATGTCGTCCGGGTGTCCACCAGGGTAGCAGTGACAAGGTCCCATGTGCGCAGTGAGTGGTCCCAAGAAGCCGAGTACCCAACCGTCGAGTCCTTGGCATCGAAGATAGCAGCCGATACGGGCGCGGTGTGCGAGGACAAAAGTGCCAATGGCCCTCGCTGGGGGACGGTCACGGAAGAGTTCAGCTTTCTCCTCTTAGAGCTCCTCGATGCGGCCGATAGCAGCAGGTTCTCTGGCGCGGCGGGAGCGTCCGATTTCTTGGTCGACCAGAAGCCGACATTATGATCTGAGGAGGCGGATAGTATACGGTTCGAGGGCGCGTGCACGGCCAGAGAGTTAATGCCAGACTTGTGTCCGTACAGCTCGAGCTGAGGAGCTATTGTGCCCGAGAACCCTCCTTCACTCTCAGAATATTTCCATAGACGTACTGTACGATCGAGGCCTGCCGATACAATCTGGTTCGGAGTAACGAATTTGGCCGCCTTGATGGATGCCGTATGCCCCCCATCGGCGGCGGCTGGGGAAGTCGCAACAATCTGAGAAGACATGTTCCACACTCGAAGCAATCCATCGTAGCTGCCAGAAAGAATCTTCTCTTGGCCTTGAGAAATTGTTGCTGATGCCCAGGTGGCAGCGGGAGAGGTTGCAGAGAGCACATCAGTCGAGCTAACCCAGTCATCATGCTGGAAGGATGCGATGTGCAGCGGGGGAATCAATGCTCTGACATATTCAATCTCCAAAGTCGTCTCCGCAGAGATACCGTTGGCGGTTAGATATTCATCAATCGAAGTCCGCAGAAATGTACCGTTGATCAGAAATTCGAATGGGATCGGTTTGTCGCTACCAAGAAGGTTGTTCACCAATGTCGAAAGCGCATATCGTCGCAGACCTTGTAGTAGCAGACGTGTCAGTCATGCGACAATTTATTCGAATGCTATTAGAAGGGGATGACCTACTTGTAGGAACTAGGATTGGTCCAGCGTTATCTGGCAGCGCAATATCTTCTTGTTTGCTGGTGAGCTGCACGCGGACCTGTCGCTGGGCAGCAGACGAGGCCGCAGTAGCATCGAAATCTGAGCCGTCATTCATATCGGAATTTCGGAGGATATCTATCTCAAAAGAGGCGTGTCTGAAAATTCTCGTCGATATAAAATCTTGCTGCCGTCGACCGTTGAGTGAGGAAAAAAATACGGTGGCCGATGCGGCCAGTTGCGCAGTGCGCGGAGTTTGGCCGCTCCTCCCGTTCAGCCAATTTGGAGAAAATAGTGAAACACAATCGTATCAGCATTGATCAGGACTCTTTTGTGCTATATTTTACAATATGTAACTATATACAGCTGACCGATGGAGGTCTCTATCCCCGAGACTGTCTTCTAATGTCTGCAATCGCCTTCCGTCGGTAATCAGACTCTGCAAAGAGAGCTTTGATCAGATCAACCACCTCCTCCGCTGAAAATTCGAGCCGGAGCTCTCCTTCTGACCAAAGGAATTTGATGTCGGCAAGAGAGCTCTCCAGAATGTTGATCAGGTATTGAAACTTTAGCCAGTTGCGCACGTACACTGCGGTCATTGGCACACGCTCAATACCCTCAGTGGCCCCTGGCATAAACAAGTCCTCCAATTGAGAGACCTGATTACAGAAAGACACTAGGCGTTGGGACTGAGCTTCCGAGATATCACCCAAATCCTCGATATCAATGATAATCTTGTTGATGACGGAGGATACCAACGATCCAATCGATTGAAGAAGCGCAGAATGTGACAAGATCGGTTGCCATTCCTTGTAAACATCACGGATTCTGTCAACAGTGGCACCTATTGCATTTTCGCACTCCCCAAGGAACGGCTGTTCTGAACACTGACTGAATCCCTGGGCGCCATCCAGTAAGTCGGTGACTATGGTGCGTTGAGTCTGCATCTCCTTGCTATAAGCGAGCTTGCCGAACTTTTCAAGTGCATCCAAATCTGGACTGAGACGCGAAAGCTCATGTTCCTCAACCATCGTCCGGAGCTGCTCGACGAGGTACAAGCTGTCGTTATACAAGTACATTTGCCCAGCATTGAGTTTGAGACTGTAAAATGAAGGTGCCGTGGCCTTGAACATAGCCAGGATCAACGTTGGAAGTGCAAGAAGACCAGCTCCAGAAGAGACAATACGTGTATGGTTGTGTCTAAGTCGTTGTAAGCGCATGTACAGATCATAAGTCATTGTCAACTTACCCCGGTTGTGAGATGGCCTCCGAATCCCTGACCTGCTGTCGAACAATTGCCATGATGGAGTCCGGAATATCCGTAATAGTGTAGTGTTCTTTCAAGGTAACTTCCCGGGGCGCATGATGTCCGATGCCTCTTCCAATTACAGGCGTCGCCTTATCAGTCTCCTGGGCTGGCTGGTTTTCAACACGTGCATCTCCGTCTTCATCGTCGCCCCAGCCCCATGCATCTGCATCATCGTCGTCAGCGGATGCTGAGATATCGGGTTTGGTCTCCACTATGCCCTCCTTCGTGTCGTCGTCAAGACCCCAAGCGGTGACATCATCCTCATCTTCTTGGATTCCTGAGGAGATCCCCTTGGACTCATCCCCGTTGTCGTCGTCCCAACTAGCATCCCAATCGTCCGAAGTGGCATTTTCTAACAGTACTTCATCTGCTTGAGATACTTCTTCCTTTTCAACCCTTTCTACTTGCTTTGTTAACCCCTGACTCCCCGCAAGAACCTTACGAACTTGATCGAGGGAGTCAGCTCGCCGCCTGGTAAGCCAAAGGCGGGGTGCTTGGCTCACCCAAGACACAAGTTCTTCCTGGCCGTGCCATCCAAGTGTCTCAATTGTCCGAGCAAATTCCAGCACACTATCCAGGGTCGCTTCAAAGTCAGCGAGGCCTACAAGATCTGTAGGGATCGCAGATGAAAGCCAAGATGATATGATTTTGGAGGACAGAGCTGGTACAAAAGTGTTCGAGAAGGAATCTGAAATAGACGAAGGCAGACATTGTCGTAGAAAACCTAAGACATTGGAGACACGATCGAGAAGCTGCGGAGCAGTGGTTGTGGATGGTTCGGGCTCCACGTGAATCGAGCCTTCTGTAACACAAATCAGACGGCTATAGTCGTCGAGACTAGGAAGCAAGATCGGTTCCACTATCGCTAACAGAAGATCCTTCTGGAGTTTGTCGTTTGCTGGGACAAGCAGGTCCAATCGACCCATGGCAGCTATTGTATCATCCAGCAAGGCACCTATTCACCGTTAGATTTGAATCATATAGCACCTCCTCTAGATGCAACTTACAGTCATTTTTGGCGACCTGGAAACTGCCAGCCTGTCTGTCAACCTTCAGTAGGTCGTTCCAGCGAGCGCGGAGATCCTCCGCGATCTGCTTTCTCAGGTCGGCGACATTCTGCACCAGGATGTTTTTTACGTTGGTGTTGGCGAAGAGACTATCCTTTTGTGCAGTGTCTTCCACCGCGTCCACCGTGTCAATGGCGGCCATGATACGGCCTTCCGCAAGGTCCGTCCGTCCTGCATTGAGTCGTTGGCAAAGCCCTTGTACCTCCTCAAGGGTCCTAGTCACGGCCTGATTGAAAGCAATCTCTGTTTGAATCAATCGAACTTTCGCAGAGGCGTCTTCGACCTTCAGCTGCAAGGGCCGAGTGTTCTCGTGCTGCGCAACAATCTCACGCGCCGTAAGCCTGGATCGCTCAATATCTGCATGAAGCTGTTTGGCCTGTGAAATCCAACCGTCGGCATCAAAGTCATTCTCTCGACTCAATGAGTTTATTTCAGCCTTGTGGAAAGTAGAGACATTAGCATTTTGGGGACTTCACATTGCGGGTATTGAGCACATACTTCGACCTGCTCCCTTGCATTCGATATAAGCGCCAGTTCTTTAGCAAGAGCCGACGTAGGAAACGTCGATGATACAACATCTTCTGAGCCCGGATAAGTGCCCTCCGTGACGAAATTCAGTACCGACTGGCAAATCTTCTGCTCCGACGCCTGCGGAGACATCTTCAAGATAGTTGCTCTAAGTATCTGAGCTTGTGCTGAAATAAAGCCCAGAGGCAATCTCACAGCTCTGACTGGGTGATACAATGCCCGCAGGACTTGACAATATATCCTGGGCAGGAAAGCTATGAGCTTCGGTCCTGGTAGTAGCTGGAAGAAGCTTCAAGCGACCTTGCTGTTCATAATAACAACAATCCCCGCCATGTGACTTCACCGTCAGATTCACCGCCTTAGCTGGATAAGCTGAAGAAGCCTCACCACGAGCTGTCCTCTACATAAACTAGTGGATGGGATTTCGAATAATTTGCAGATTAGCACTGAGGACGTCTTTTGATGCTGTAAAATTGCTGGGGCCTCAGCCATACGCGCTTGTTTGACGCTGTCTCTTGAGATACTTTGGTGCTACTATTGGCATGGTTGCTCTTTAAGGAACGGGACCCAAACTCCACTCTCAAAGGAATCTCAAGTTCGACGACAACTAGCTCATTTCCCCCCTGAAACAGCAGCGTCGGCGCCGTTTACTCCGTCGTGTTGTCTCGGCTTTTCCAGCGAGGCCTGAGTCGGGCGTATCCTACTCGATCTATGTGAGTACAGTACAGTCGTTGTCTCTACCGAGCACAAACGGAGAATAAAAAGATTCTCTGTCCCGCGTTTTATCGACGTCAATGCCGCTTCGAAGCGTGTGCTATCCATAGCGTCATAAGAGTCCACGTCCAACGTGTTCTTCGCAGCGTTATACAAGCCAGCCGCTCTTTTTTGGTTGTTTTTTGTGTTTCTGTTACCTGGATGCCAGTCATGGGATGGGTGCAGCTCCCGTTTCTTTCCTTGAATCAGCCATTCCTTTACTGTTTCCCGACGACAGACGTTGCTCATACATCAAAAGGTCTCTGAATTACTGACTTTGTACTAGATTGTCTCAACGAGACTTGTTCGGCAGTATTTGGAACATCGGAAACTGGAAAGAGTTTCCGTTCATGTCGTACGGCAATATGTCATCCTCTAGCCAGAAGACTCACTTTAAATTACTCCAGAGGTTCAAGCCTGACTACTCGCCGAGCGAGTTCATTCAATATGAATCCGAGAGGACCGGCATGAGAGTAGTGGTCATTGATCAGAAAGGCCCCAAGGTGACTGGGTATTTTGTCCTTGCCACAGAGATTCTGGATGATTCGGGTGCCCCTCACACTCTGGAACACCTGTGTTTCATGGGATCGCGCAATTATAGATACAAGGGATTCTTAGATAAGCTTGCTACGCGAGTGTATTCTAACACAAACGCCTGGACAGCCACGGATCACACAGCCTACACGCTGGATACAGCGGGCTGGGAGGGGTTTTCTCATATCTTGCCTGTCTATCTGGAGCATGTGATTGCACCTACTCTGACAGATGAAGGCTGCTACACAGAAGTGCACCACATAGACGGTTCCGGTAACGACGCAGGAGTCGTATACTCGGAGATGCAAGGAGTGCAAAACAACGCCGCTGAACTGATTGACTTGACGGCTCGACGGCTGATGTACCCGCCTGGCGTAGGCTTTCGTTATGAGACTGGAGGCATGATGGAGCAGCTTCGTGTCCTCAGCGCGGAGAGGATTCGCGCGTTTCATCGTGAGATGTACCAACCTCGTAACCTGTGTCTGATCATCACGGGTGAGGTGGACCATGACAATATGCTAGAAACGCTTGACAAATTCGAAGACACTATCCTGGATGTCATTCCAAGTCCTGACTCGCCATTCAGACGACCATGGGTAGATTCCAAGCAAGCTCCTCCATTGGAGACATCGATTGTGAAGACTGTGGAGTTCCCCGAGGAGGACGAATCTTTTGGTGAAATAGAAATCAGGTTTTTGGGTCCCGATTGCACTGATCCCGTACAAAGTGAGTCTTCCCCCCGTCTTCATCCTTTTTGTGATTCATCGCTTATATGTACAAGCCGGTGCTCTTAACGTCGCACTTTTGTACCTGGCTGGGTCGTCGGCTTCTCTTTTAGAGAACGTTCTTGTGGAAAAGGAACAGCTTGCCAGTGCTGTCTACTATGCTACCGAAGATCATCCAAGTGTCGAAATCCGATTCACCCTGACCAGTGTTGAAACCGCCAAGCTCGCCCAGGTAGAGAAACGATTCTTCGAGGTTCTCCAGGACGCTATGAAGAAGGACCTGGACATGAAGTATCTGAAAGAATGCATCGACCGACAAAAGCGGACTTGGAAGTTTTCCACTGAGAACTCTGCTTCTTCTTTGGCAGAGTATGTCATTTCTGATTTTCTTTTCGGAAAGAAAGATGGCTCAACGCTGCTGGACGTTGCAACCCTGCAAGAGTACGACGTTTTGGAGAAGTGGAGTGAGGATGAATGGCGTAATTTCATCAAGAAGTGGCTTTCGGATGCACCCCATGTCACTATACTTGGTGTGCCATCATTGAAGATGTCTGAAACCTTGAAGAAAGAGGAAGAGGCCAGAGTTGCAGCTCAGAAGAAGCGACTCGGACCCGAGGGCCTGAAGGAATTGGCCGACAAACTGGAGAAGGCAAAGGCTGAAAATGATAAAGAGATTCCTCAAGAGATGCTGGAAAAGTTCAAGATTCCTGGTACTGAATCTATCCATTTCGTGGAGACAACGACGGCCCGATCCGGCTCTGCCTTGAGAGCCGGACGCGCGGATAACAAGATTCAGGAGTTGGTGGATGCTGATGGCTCGGAGCTGCCACTATTCATCCATTTTGAACATATACCTAGTAGCTTCGTCCAGCTTTCACTTCTTATCTCGGCTCAGTCGGTGCCAGTCCACCTTCGTCCCCTTCTGTCCGTGTATACGGAGGCGTTCTTCAACCTACCCGTTCAACGGGATGGGCAGACGATCAATTTCGAACAAGTTGTGGTTGAATTGGAAAGGGATACTGTTGGCTATTCGATGGAGGGTGCAAGAAGCCTGGGCAATTCGGAGATGTTGCGCATCTCCTTCCAGGTTGAAATAGAAAAGTATAGCAGTGCAATTGCCTGGCTTGAGGAGCTCTCCTGGAACTCAGTCTTTGATGTGGAGAGACTGCGCGCGATCACCAGTCGGCTCCTTGCTGATGTGCCCGACGCCAAGCGTAGTGGTGATGACATGCTGGCAGCTGTGCATGTCATGGTTCACTACGCGGCTGAATCCATTGTGCGGGCGCGGAGCACCTTGGTCAAGGCGCGGTATCTTAAGCGGATCAAGCGACAATTGGCTGAGCAACCCGAGGCCGTTGTTGCTCGCATGGAAGAGATCAGACAAGCTCTTTTCAAGTTTGAGAACATGCGAGTTTTGGTCATCGCAGACATTGACAAATTACCCAACCCAGTTTCGTCCTGGAAGCCGTTTGCTGAGCGACTCGGTGATGTGACCCCTCTGAAGCCCGTCACCGTCCGCAGGGACTTGCTGAGCGAGGCAGGTCGCAACCTTGGTGGAAAGTCGTATGTGGTTCCGATGCCGACGATTGACTCGTCCTTTGCCTACGCAACAGCTCGGGGTCTTGACTCGTACGATCACCCCAAGCTCCCCGCTCTGCTGGTTGCCATTGCGTATATGAACGCCGTCGAGGGTCCTCTTTGGGTTGCCGTCCGTGGCAAGGGCTTGGCTTACGGTACGAACTTCGCCTATAATATCGACACCGGCTTTGTGAACTTTGATGTATATCGGTCACCGAATGCACACAAGGCATTCGAGTCTAGTAAACAGATTGTCGAAGACCACCTCTCCGGTGCAATCCCCTTCGACCCCTTGATGTTAGAGGGGGCTATCAGCAGCATTGTTGTCAGCTTCGCCAACGAGCAGTCGACCGTCGCCAGTGCGGCGCAAGGCAGCTTCATTCGTCAGGTCATTCGCAACTTGCCCAGCGACTACAAGGAAAAGACGCTCAAACAAGTGCGGGTCACTAGTGTTGAAGACGTCAAGGCAGCCTTGCGCGAAATCATCCTGCCGTTGTTCGCTCCGGACAAGGCGAACCTTGTTGTCACCTGTGCGCCTGTGCTTGAAGAGGTAAGAGTTCCCTTGCATGCGTAGAATAGTGCTTTGTGAGCTTCAGATACTCACTCTCGATATAGACAATCAAACAAGGCCTCGAAGCGACTGGTTTCACTCCTGTGGTGCAGCCACTGAAGGACTTTGAAGATGACTATGGATTGAAAAATGATGGCGACGAAGACGAAGAATCCGAAGACGAAGATGAAGACGATGACGACGACGATGAAGATGATGAATCCGAATCTGGCTCGGAGGATGAAGAAGGATCTGATGATAACGAGTGATGCAAGTTATGATGACATCGGGTGAGGCATCGTGCGATCGGATGTATACCTCACGGCCTAGACAAGAGATTTACTTTCACTATATTAGACATGACAGGTGTTCCTCCTCCATTGTACAAGAACAGCATGAAGAGACAAAATCTGACACATTATTAAGCGACATCGGACGGAACACTTGGACTTTTCGAGCCTTCTGAACAGCAATACTGATACATCATGCAAATTGGACGAAGAGGCCCTGAATCGCATGCAATTCAACGTATATTAACCCCCAGCCAATAGCACAGTATCTGCTGTTTTAGTTGTCTCACTAGGCGCAAACTCGATCAAATCACTCCATACTGCCAGTTGTGATTGGAGCCGATGGTGCAGTAAGCGCTGGGGTGTGCAGGATAGCTGCGCCGCACAATATAACTAGTTTAATGTCGATCGTGAGATAACTAACGGCCCCAATCTCAAGTAGTGACACAGCCAACATGATTTCTTTCCCATGAGCAATCCTTCTAACTCATCTCTCGCTGTGATCAGCCGTTGATGGGTTATTCAAGGGGAAATCCGAAACAACCTTGACGATATACTCGTTTAATTCCATGTCATAGCTCTCTAAGTTTGAGTACTATAGAAATCGCTTCGAGTCAGCAGTCGGTCAACGCTGATGATTGATGCAATGCTACGGCTAGCAGCGATGACAGCCAGATGGTTGTTACTTCGTCGCCTAGTCAATGTCAGCTTCGTTATTCTCGCATTGCTTTCGACGGTCCCCTCCGCCTCAGCGACGAATTGCTATACGCCTGACGGAACGATATCGAACGATCGTCCATGCAACGCGTCAGCCTCGGCCAGTGTCTGCTGTACACAGGGCTTCCTCTGCACTTCCAACCAGCTCTGCCAGCCCGCAGGCTGGTGGGATGGCTCCGAGGCAATCCCCTTCAGTTCATCAGAGGGACCTGTACGGACAAAACGTGGGCTGCGCCTGAATGCCAGGGACACTGTGTTGCAGGTGAGCCTCAAGTCACAGACCACTAATTGACTATGTTCACTCAATTCGAACTCTTTCTGCAGAAAGTCCCTCTGGTGGAGAATGGGTGATGCGATGCGGGAATACCACCAACAACTACTGCTGCTCTGCAGATGACTGCTGTACCAAGGCCTCGTACTTGAAATTCACCCTAGACGAACCCACCATCACTGCGACGGCGGGTGTAGAACCTACCTCAACGGCGACAACCACGACAGAGTCCTCCAGGGAAACTTCCACGGCATCAACAAGCAAAGGGACGTCGACAACATCGTCGACAACATCGTCGATAACACCAGCCCCCACCACGAGCGCAGCCGCAAACTCAAACCATTCGCACAGTTCAGGGTCAGACTCGACGACAACCATAGCGATCGGCGTCGGTGTCGGTGTCGGAGCAGGCGTTGTCATCGTAGGATGTCTGCTCGCGCTGTTTCTGGTGCGCTTGCGCCGGAAGAAGCGACTCGCAGCAGAGCAGAATAATTCCGCCTTCTTGCCGGGGTCTCAGAATGGCCCCTTCGGTGTCTATCCTCCGGTGGCTCGACCCCAGCAATATCCTTCAGAGCTGGACTCGCAGCAGCAGCAGCCGGCTGTGGCGGAGCTGGATGGTGTCCACACGGGGAAGTACGAGGTGCGGTGAGGCTGAGATAGGAGTGGCGTTTACATCTGCAGATTCCATCTTCCCGATTTTAGCATTTATACCCGAAGTACCTTTGATATATATATATATATATCAGAAGAATATTCACCCTGATGGAAATAAGAGTTTGCGCTGTTATCATGAAATAAGTGCCGGTATCGATCATCTGTGTTGCTTCCATTTCCTGTATATAAAAGATTTTAATGTTGATGGCTTCTTCGGTCCAGATCGTGGCCCTGGAATGACAGACCCTATTCATAAGCGACGCAAACCGAAGTATAATGCAAGGACCTGATAACTGTATGTATATGGTACATGTAGAAAAAGCATCTTGTCCCAGCGAACACAAGATGCACACCAGCTATCCCATCGATCTAAATCACCCCAGTGATCGGAATAGCTATCCCGTTCCTCTCAACCACGAAGAACACAGGAATAATCCTGATAAGCCCAGAAAGAATCGAGACGGCATCATCTTCATATCCATCGACACTCGATATCCAACCAGGCAAAGCCAAGTGGATTCCGTACAATTCTCTCAAAGTTCTTTACCACCGCAAAAAGCAAACCCACTACCAACTCAGCGACTTCCGTCCCTTCTCTCTCCGGTGCTGGAGAACCTTCCTCCCTCCCCTCGACCGCAGCCGCGCAAGGAACCCATGACGACGTTTCTGCACTCTTCGCGAGGGATTGTAGGTAGCACGTCTACCGGCCAGCGACGCACTGGCGGAGAAAGACCGAGTCTGTTGCGTCAGACCGAATGACAGCGAAGAGGCGGATGTGAGAGATGTGCGGAATGAGGGGAGACTCTGTGTCAACGGGGTCGGCTGTGAACGGAGGGCGGATGAAAACGTGCGGAGTGGTGTTGATAGGGAGGTGGTGAGGGTCTGAGTCGGGAGTCTGTTGCGTTGGTTGTCAACTTAGAGTCCCCGTCTGATATGACAGCTGGCAGAATTTCTCGAGAGTCGAAAGTATACTTCGACAGAATTGACAGGACGTACCTGAACGACTGGGAGCGCATTGTATTTCGCAGCGCGGAGGGCACGGCTCTACACTGGAAGCAGAGCATGTCGAAGTTTCACAAGGACTGAACAATTAAGGAGTTTGTGATCGCCCTCTTCCAGAAATGTATTGATTGGATCGCTGAATATTGCGGAGATGGTGATGGTCTCTGAGTCTGAGGCTATCGGACATTGACCAACAGTTGAGGCGGACGAAAATTGAACCTCCGGCGCGGCGGACGCACGGACCAGCAGATTTCTTTTCAATTTGATGCTTCAAGATTTCATGGTCAGACCTTCATTCCTGTCGCTTTGGCTACACTCAATTTCTCCAGAGTTCATTCTATACAAAGAATCATCCACCCAGGACCACCGGGACATACGCTCATCAATCGCGCTAAGCCACCAAACTTCTCCCTCAACCATTCACTTGCGACACTTCCATTGCAAACTAATTCGATCTACATTCCACGAAATCAACCGAGCAGGCAACAAGCCTCAAAAGACCCAGAATGGCAACTCAAGGCCCCTCCCCTCTTCCTCCAACAACCATCCTCTCCTCAAAACCCATCTCCCAATCCGCCGCCCACGACTTCCTCGCCGCCTATCTCGACCGCGCCGCCACAGATCCAGCCCTGCAACCCAACGCTAGCATCAGCGAGCACGGCCCCATCTCCCGTACCACAGCTGCAGCGCCAAATCTCATCCTGCATAACCTGAAGCGCGTCCAGGCCGGATTGGCTGGCGAGGTTCTGGGCCGTGATTTGACTCTGGCGAAGATCAATGCCGGTGAGGCGCTGCAGGGTGAGAACGGCGATAATGTCGAGTGGGAGGATCCGACCAAGCATGAGCAGGTGGCCGCTGATGATGCGATGGATGACGATGAGGAGGAGATGCGAGGTGAAGATGACGAGGAGCAAGAGCAGCAGCTTGAGAGGGTAGAGGTTGAGGCTGACGAACATGTCGTGGACAAGGAGGAGCGGAAGAGGAAGAAGAAGGAGCGCCGGTTGGCCGAGAAGAGAGCTAAAGCCAAGGGCGCGGAGGCATAGATCGAATCCGGCTGGAAGCTTCACTTGGGTTACTTGCATTGCTCTGCTGATGGATTTTCGGTTCAATTGGTTGGTTCTCAAAGTACAGGACCCGTATCTTGCTATTGGCGTTTGTTTTTGGATGATATTACATCACACAGGGTATGGAGTTTGCTGTTATACTAGAATCAAAATCGACCTTTGCTCTACAACCAACAGACACCTTTTTGCCCCAGCCGCCACCTAACACCGTGAACGGAACGAAAAAGGAGAGAAAGGACTTATATCGAAGAGAATCGGTTGTGTTCAAAGCTCCCGGTCAGCAGCCTTGACCGGCTTTTCGCTATCTTCCGTCTTCACGTCGGTGACCTTTCCTCCCTGCCAGCCAAGCGCCTTGAGTCGCTCGGATAGGATGGGGTGAGAGTAGTGGTAACTGGCATACATCCAGTCAGCGTCCATGGTGCTCAAATTCTGGATCTGAAGCTTGAGAAGGGACGCGGCAAGCTGTTCGGAATACCCGAGCTTCACGGCGAAGGCATCTGTGGCGCGGTCAGCTTCTGTTTCTAAAGAAGTACAAGAGGACAGGAATCATACCAGCTTGGAACTCGAACTTGCGGCTGAGAATGTTCATCAAGAGCTTGACGACAGCATCCATGGGAGCCAGAGCATCTGAGAACAGGAGGAATCCAATCATGATGGGCATTTCCTGGTGGAAGCCAAATGATTGATACAGGGACTTGTTGTTCACAAAAACCGAGAATAGGGCGAAAATATAGAACATGTGAGACTATAACATGGACCATTAGCCTTCTTCTGTGCACTTTGGTGTTTTTTATAAGGTCGCGATATCAAGAAGAAGTTCAGTAAACACATACCTGAGCAATAGCAAAGAGCTTAGTAGTGTGACCGAGGCTCCAGTGACCAAGTTCGTGACTCAAGACGGCGACGACTTCCTCAGTCTCGCTCTTCTCAATCAGAGTATCATAGATGACAATGTGTTTTTTCCACGGCAGTCCGTAGAAGTACGCGTTGCTGTGAGCACTGCGCTTGCTGCCGTCGATGACATACAGTTCGTGGAGAGGGAATTCGAGCTTGCGGGCGAGGTTTTCAACGCCGGTCTTCAATTCGCCAGGTTCTAGAGGTGAGAGCTTGTTGAACAGTGGCAGGATGACAATGGGGTAGATGGTGATAGCGAAGATCTGAACAAAGACACCAAAGAGCCACAGGTAGTAGAAGAACGAATTGCCAGTCTTCTGGACGATCTTAAGCACGGCACTGATGATCGGGGTTCCCAACACGATTCCCAGCATCTGACCCTTGAGCATGTCGGTAACCCAGAGCTTGAGCGTCTGCTTGTTAAAGCCAAACTTCTCCTCTAGAACGAAGGTATTGTAGTATGAAATGGGCAAGGACAGGACGGTGCTGATCAGGTTGAAACCGAAGATGAACAGGAGCGTCTGGGTAATTTCACCCTGGAACCGAGAGGGGAAGTACCGCGTTAGCAAGAGACCGCTCAGTCCCCAAAGCTTGGGGAGGACATCGCCGTAGATGAATGCAAGATTCTGGATTTGACCGTAAAGACCTGAGATGAAACCGAACTTGGCTTTTGCGCGACCATATGCCTGTAGACAAGGACGGACACGTCAGACCTGTGATCTTGATAATAGCAATATTCCCATCTCCGATCCCATCTTGAAATGCTTACCTGACTCTGATCAAAGACTTTCTGTGACACTTCATTCTCCAACACCTTGGGTGGCTTTGTCCGCTGCAACACCTTGTATTGTCGGAAGGACAAGAATCCTTCGAGAATGAATTGACCTAAAGAGAATCCCACGAGAACATTCTTCCACGGAAAGAGCGGGCGGTCCAGAAGACGCGCAAGTTGCTATAGAGGGCAGAATCGTTCGGTCAGAACAACATCAACAGACCATCGTCAGGTGGCTACGAAGGGACGAATGCAGAGAGCTTACCTCGAGGATATACATGGCTGAAAATTCAGCACAACAACAGGCGGTTCAAACAAAGCGCTGTGTTGTTGACCTGTTGTTTGTAGCCTAGTGGTGTTGACAGATGCAAGTACTCCCGCTCGATGGATGGTGATGTCTTAGTCAAAAGCCACTTAGTGCAAACTGGCCGCATCTCCAGCTGACAGAACAAAGAATGTTCGACCGCATATTTTTCAGAACATGAACGAATGTGATCTTTGAGATCTAGAATCATAACTGGATTGATAGTCTATTCTGTATATAGTATCGCATATTTAGCTTTGGCCATATGGGACTCTTTCCCATCCTGTTCCCTTAATACTTCATCGTCTACCTGGCACACCATCTACATATGTACTCCACAGTAGGAGACAAAGCAACAAATATATAGAAGAAAATAGAAAGTTTTCACATAAGAACAGCTTCATAACACACATCACAGAAGTAGTGGCACTTCATCAACGTGACTCATTCTTTTATGCGCCCATGTCTCAACCAAAACAGACGGCCTCTAGCCTTTTAAGAACCCCTCAAGTACGGCCGTCTCTGCATATCGTAATCCACCTCCTCAGAGCTCCAACGGCTGGAAGAGACGAACATCGGAGCTTCCTGTGTTCTCTAGACTGGAGTGAATCCCGACGCTCTTCGTGATCTCGAGTCATCAACTTTTTCTTTTCTGCTGCTTCCACCGCCTAGATCTGCTGGCGAAGAATCGGGGAATGCGAATGAGCTGGGACCCCAAATGTCTCCCTCAACAATTTCACGAGCGGGTTGACCTAATTGATCTGACAAGGGAATCTTGTCTAGTTCAGAATGGGCTCAAGAGTGTTACCACTGTAACAAATTAGTCCTATAAAACCATAACAACGATGGCTAGTCAGGGTGACTTACGCGACAATATTGGCCCATCCGATCAGACGCCAATGCTTGTCGATTCTCCGGCTGATAGCAATCTTCTCTCCAATCTCTGTACAAGCCGGGCTGGTCAAGCTGAGCTTGGCAGCATCAGCCTTCACACCCATAACCTTAGCACCAGTGGCCGTAGAGCCGATGTTAACCATGAGGACCTCGTTCTTGGTGAGCTTGGCGACCTTGGCCTGCTTGCCATCGGCAGTCTTGACACCGAGCAGGCGACGCAGCAGGAAGTAGTTGACCTCCAGTTCAGTGTAGATGGCCGGCAAACGGCCACGGTGACCTAGGACGAAACCGACGAGACGATCGGCACGGCACAGGGTAGGGTCGACACGAGTTCCGACACCAATCAAACCACCAGGAACAGCGAACTTCAGATCGTTGTGCTCAGCGAAGAGCGAGACGACACGGGAGAAGATGGGGCGGCATTGGATCTTGCCGTTCTCGTCCTTGGTAACGAGACCGGGGCGAATCTCAATCTCGTCGTTCAGCTTCAGCACACCAGTCAGGATAGAGCCACCTGCAACACCACCCTTCAACTCATCGATCTCCGCACCGGGCTTGTTGACGTCGAAGGAACGGATGACAATCATGTGAGGGGAAGCAGTGAAGTCACGGACTGGAACCGGGATGTGCGAAACAAGGTATTCGTTGACAGCGTCAATGTTGTACTTGAGCTGAGCGGAGATGGGAATGATAGGAGAGCCATCGGCAACAGTACCACGAATGAACTTCAGGATCGATTGGTAATGTTGCAGAGCACCGTCTTCCCTCATCAAGTCAACCTTGTTCTGCAGAATGATGATATGGCTGAGCTTCATGATCTCAATAGCCGCCAAGTGCTCCGAAGTCTGGGGCTGGGGGCAAGCTTCGTTTCCGGCAATCAGCAGAAGGGCGGCGTCCATGACGGCGGCACCTGACAACATGGTACTCATAAGAATATCGTGCCCAGGGCAGTCAACGAACCTGTGAGTAGTGAGGATTAGCTATTAGTCCCCCTCGACACGCGAAGGCAAACTCGATCTACTTACGAGACATGTCTCAGCAATCTGTAACGACCTGTGCATCCTTCTCTCTCACATGGAGGGTCGACTTCCTTCTCACTCTTGTAACTCTTGAAGCACGTCGGGCGAGGGCACTCAGGGTTGTCGCACTTGTAGATCTTCGCGTTGGCATAACCAAGCTTGATGGTAATGTTCCGCTCCAACTCGTTCTTGAATCGGACAGTCTGCACCTCCGAAATAGCCTTCACCACAGTCGACTTGCCATGAGCGACGTGTCCGATAGTACCGATGTTGATTGTGGCCTGGCGCGCGATAATCTCGGGCGACAGAGGCGTCAGTGTCGACAAATCGAGAGTCTCTGGGTTGGGCTGCTCGGGCAGTTCTGGACGCTTCGGCTGAGGAACAGGCACAGAGCCTTTCTTCATCGCAGACTTGAGGGGCTTCTCTTCCAGATCAAGAGGCTCCTGTTCTTCAATGTCATACTGGCCGTTCGCCGCATCCAGCATGGGGGAGCCAGGCTGCGATTCATCGTCGGTAAAATCGCCGTTGGTAGCCATGATTGCGATAATAACCCTTTGATATTCACGGACAGAGAGATAGAGAACCTAGGGGTTTAAGGAAGGGGTTAGTCCGAGAGTGGAGGGGTGATTATCAAGGGTTCCGTTGTTGGATGAAATTTGCTTGCTAGGAAAACGGAGGCGATATGATACCAGTGGGGTTCTGATTTGTGTAGTGGAGTGTGAGTGGGCGGTGGGAGCCTCTTTCGTGCCCTGTGGGCTGCTAACTGGGTTGACCTGATACAGTCAATCAAGAACAGGTCGATCTATAAACTTAAGGGAATTTTGAGGTATTCTTTTCTCTTGCATGAAATTCATGGATATAATGGTTCTGATGGAGGAACAAAGTTAGTTGATCCTTTTATCTCACTGAGCTTAAACACCTGTTCACTCTCTTCAATGCCACACTTGAATGACTCACATCAACCAGTAAAAGAATCAAGCATGAATTAACCATCATGATAGCATCCTGTATGATACGATACAGCCTTGATGTTTGGGCCAGTCATTCTAGGAAATCAGTTGAACAAATTATGTTGCTTTCAGTGATTTACATACGGTGGTCTATGAGCACATGGTCGGGTATATAGCACAATATATCACTGGAAGTTATGTACATTCATTCTTCGTCACTCCCCTCGCTGGTCTCCTCTTCTTCTTCTTTCTCAATCTCATCTTCCGAGCCCTCTTCGAAGTCATCAAGCGTTGAGGGGTCCTCTGGGGGTAGCATGATGAAAGCCCTGAGGCAGGTTATCCGATTCCCTGTCTCATAGACGTTCAAGAGTTTTCCAACCTGCAGGTTCTCTGATCCTTTGCCCTTGTCGTCAGAATTCTTCGGCTTCTCCTTCGTATCACGAATGAGATTCTTCCCGTGCACCATCCACACGCGCACAACACCCTCGCTGTTCCCGGTAACCACAAGGAGATCGCCCTTCTGTACCGTGGACTCCTCTCCTACATTCAAGATCTCGAAATCCTTGACTCTGCCAGGAAAGCCAGATGCTCTGCCACCGAGCTCAGCAACGGCCTCAGCGTAAGGAATTGGAGATTCGTCGTCATCTGCAGCCTTTTGTAACCTCTTAGTTGAGTAGAATATGATTCTGCCATCCTCTGTGGAGACAGCAAGCAGCTCCTCGCCGTCTTCCGCAGAGGGGTCAAGAGCGATGTATTTCATCTGATGCACCTTGCTTCGTGGGCTTGGTAGCACCCTGCAAACGGGCGTTGAATCCTACAAATGATTAGACTTGCTCGCGCAGATTCAGAAGGTCGACAGGAATACTCACTATCCCGAAGACGACGGCTCCCCATTCAAATGCAACGGCGAACTCTTCACCCTTTGGGTTCCATTCAATCTTTCTGCCCTCCCCAGTGCTCCAGCGACCTTCCTTCACACTCTGCAGAATTTCCTTGCTAAAGTTCAACACCCCAGCCTTCTTTCCTGTCACCAAATTCCAGAGTCTCATGCACTTTTCTCCTCTACCGACAGAGAGCATGAGCTTCATACTGGGATGCACTGCGAAATCGTTGACTCCCGAGGGAGCGCCTCCGGGCGGTGCGGTATCACCACTTGGTCTCCCCTGGACTTTGGGACGAGGGGCCTTGATAGTGGAGACAACTGTCCAGTCGCGGGTCTTCGTGACAGAAATGGTATTATCCTCCGCAGCAGCCAATAACTTGGAGCGTGAAGGGAAATGTAAGGCGGAAATATAGGCACTGTGGTGTAGAAGAGAGCCAAGTTCTCGGTTTTTCGGGTTCTCGAGGACTTTATTTCCAGCCAGAGTCGGAACTGTTGGATAATGCTCAGTCACCGCTGGAGGAGCGGCAGACAGCGAGTAGAGATTAATTCGCTCATCTGTGCCTCCACTGGCCAAGATGACTTTGGGTGGTTCAGTAGAATCTTTCTTTGGCACCGGAGACAAAGCAAGGCAACGGATAGCAGAAGCATGAGCTTCGAACAGGAAAGTATCAACGAATTGAACTAGATTTTTGTCGGTTTCGGCTTCATGAGAATCTGCAGATTTGAAGCAGACTGGAGAAATAGCAGCAGTAAAGCCATGTAGCACACGCTCATAAGAGCCAGTGACTATCTGCAAAGTGACCGCAGGACTGGCCGCATCAGCCGAGAAGACATTTTGAGCTGTGGATGGCTTGACAACTTTTGCCGCTTTCGGAGAAGTTTGGGTATCCTTGGAAGACTGTTCTCTCTTGCGCTTGGCCATGACTGTGTTTATCCAGTGATTTCTTCAAACAATGTGTCTTAAGTGTTCGAATATCAACAGTTCAACGCTCTATAATTTTGCAGAACGGGTAACTTTTTTTTCTGCCAGACTTATCGCAGTCTTAGGCGGTGACAGATGGAGGCGGCCTTGATGCCTGTGGCGCAGTCACTAAATCTGAATGCGGTCATCCACTCTGATGTTGGTGGCCTTGAAGCCTGAGGCTGCAACAACACCCCTGATCTCATTACTGACTTACATACTTTTTTGTTGCTTGGTCTTGCCCCTACCCAAACGCCATTAACAAGACT